GCATTGTTTGTTGTCAGCCAGTCTGATCCTTGCCCGGGCGAATCAGTTGTTGCTCTGCTTAACAAGCCGTGGAAAAGGCCCATCTCGTGGCACAACCCTTTCAATTGATTGCACGACAGAGACGAGAGGCATGTCGATTGTCAGACAGTGGAGGCAGAGACAGCGAAAGGGGTTCGCTGACGAAAGTGATGCCATCCCCCCCGAAGGGAGGTCACCATTGCACCCCTTAGCAGTCAAGGAGTGCCAATGCAGTACTCTCTGTTCCAAAAAGAGAGAGCGCTACTAAGATGCGAAAGTCTCCTGTTGCATGCAAGGCCCGGGTGAAACCAGTGAAACGTGGACCTATCCTAGCATGGTACTTGTGCCCCTTTGTACAGCAATGGTCATGGTTTGGCCGCTGCAAGGAGAACTAAGGTTCCCCCTAGCTACCTTCCATTACCATTCTCTACCACCCGCCTCTTAGGAGCGAAAGCTAAGGCTCTCATTCCTACAGGCTCACTGTAATGTTGTTACTGAGACCGAAATGGTGGCTTCGCCTGAAAGTTCTTGAGCCTGGCTCACCACATCGAAGCAGAGTAGCAGTCCTTCTCCACTGTCATTCGCGCGTTGCCAGTTTAACACGTGGCATCATGGAAGTCGTCTCTCCATTGGTCATTTGCATTTGGCGGCAGGAATCGGAGCCACTGGGGCTTGTCCAATTGCTCGCATTTGTCAAAGGCATTGGGCCAGGCATATGTACCTCGCCATGTTATGCTTTGCCCTTTTTTACGAACTGCTCGAAGTTGCGTGCAACCTGCAAAAGCACGCCGCGCAATGTAAAGCAGAGATGGTGGGACGCAGACTTCTTGCAGCGAGGTACACTTAAGAAAGGCTTCTTGCTCAATGATTTTTTCACTTGTTTCTTGAAGTGCAGATTTCGTGGCAGGCGCAGCACTTTGTGAACCTCCATGTGCAGATTTCGTGGCAGGCGCAGCGCTTTGTGTACCTCCATGTGCAGATTTCCTGGCAGGCACAGCGCTTTGTCAACCTCCATGTGCAGATTTCGTGGCAGGTGCAGCACTTTGTGAACCTCCATGTGCAGATGTGGCAGGTGCAGCTTTGTGAACCTCCATGTGCAGATTTCGCGGCAGGTGCAGCACTTTGTGAACCTCCATGTGCAGATGTCGTGGCAGGTGCAGCGCTTTGTGAACCTCCATGTGCAGATTTCGTGGCAGGCACAGCGCTTTGTGCACCTCCATGGGCAGATTTCGTGGCAGGCACAGCATCTGGGGGGCTGGAAGCTGAGAACTGGCGACTTTGTAGTACAACTTGAGTACGCGGAGCAATCTGTGAGCTGGAAGCTGAGAACTGGCGACGTTGGACTTGCTTTTGTTTTGGGATCCGTACATGTAGCTGACCGTGGTTTGAAGGTGCTAGCTGGCAAGCCAGAGAGCAACTGGTGATTTTGTACAACAACTTGAGTACGCGGAGCTACTGGCGACTTTGTAGTACAACTTTCGCACGCGGATGAGTCATCTCTCGCTGGTGAGTCATCTCTTGCTCCTGAGTCATCTCTCACTGCTGAGTCATCTCTCACTGCTGAGTCATCTCTCGCTGGTGAGTCATCTCTCGCTGCTGAGTATCTGGGGAGCTGGAAAATGAGAGCTGGAAAATGAGAACTGGCGACTTTGTAGCACAACTGTAAAGTATGCGGAGTATTTGGCAAGCTGGACAATGAAGACATGATTTTGACTTTGAAAACACCGCCCACTTCGCGTGCCCGCGCCAGCTGCACTTAACTTTTGCTGGCAGATGCCCAGTTGCTTCAGCACGCCGGTGTGGGCTGGTGATCTTGCTTTGGCATTGACACAACCCAGTGCGCTGTTGTGAGCTGCTGATCCTGCAGGGAGCACAGACCTTGCACAGGTGGCGCTGTGTGTGTGTGTCAAAAGTCCGGAGCGCATGCGTTTGGCTCAGTGAGGGACACGAGGGACACGCATGGTGGAGAGAACGTGGACACTCCTATAGGTCAATGTGTTCTTATAGGAAACTTCCGCTACTTGTACTCTGGGGAACTGGTACCCTCGGCCACCGTGTGGCACCGCTTTCAGTTCAGTACACCCCATGTCTGGCCTCGTGCCAGCCCGGGATGAGCCCGTAGAGTGCCTCCCGTGGACCCGTCGAACGGGGGTTTGTCTTCGTCCCTGCGCGCGGGACCAGAGTGGTCCGCAGCGGACAAAGTAGGCTTAGGCCAAAGTTATTTGCCAAGATTTGTCGGATTTTGTTGAATTCCAAGCTGGCTCATGCCTTCAAGTGACCGCAGCGGTCAAAGGTGGCAGCCTTCGTGGTAGCAGCGACCGAAGCTTGTTAACGTTCACGGGAACCTGTGGAGAACTTAACCCTGTCTTGTGTTTCTTGTGCTTCTTGTGCTTCTTGTCAACTGGTAGCACTGGCCTCCAACTTGGTACCCTCCACCCACTAGCGATGACCTCCAACTTCGCTTCTTGCTATCACTTTGTGCCGATGGTTCACCACCTACTAGCGATGGCCTCGAACCTCAGGTCTTGGCCCCCAACAGCCTTCCGTTGGCCTCTAACCCAAAAGCAAAGGCCTTTAACCTACAATTTTTGTGTGTGTGTGTGTGTCACACTCCGTCCAAAGGAGTTTTGTTTCATGCAGGGGGACTGGAACCGACTTGCCTATCCAGTCCAACGAAGCTATGGCATTTCGGTGGATGAGTGGTCTGATCAACCACTTGTACCTGCATCGAACACACTGACACCAATGTTCCACCCTGCCGCTGTTCGTTGGTTCCATGGTTTTTCTTCATGATACTACCCCCAAACCTTTTTCCTTCAGCCGCTTTCAGCTGCTGCGCGTCTGCAGACAAGTGAGCACTTTGTTAAATTTTCCAAGTGCTGACTTCACCACCTTGCGTTTCCATCGTCCATTTCACCGAGGAACAGAGGCAAACCCATTGTTAGCCGGCGTGCAGTTTTCTGAGAATGTGTTCCTTATAGCCTTCTTGGAATACACTTGCAGTCAATTTGGCGTTGGGGCAAATTTCGACATTGATCTGACTTGAAAAGGCATCCTTACAAGGCCAACCTCCGGCGGCAGGCATAAGCAAAAAGAAGGGTTTTTCTGTGATGACATACGAACTTTTGTCAAGTGACGAAGGGTGAGGCGATGATGTCTCACGTGTTGGTTTGTGATCCACGCCGAAAATGCACGCATTGTGTTTCGAGCATTGAGAAAAGAAAAGTGCGGGTGGGGAATGCCAATTCTATTGGTTCCAACAAGCTCTCAGAAAAGAGAAGTGTGGCGGGACATGACGGCAGGCCTCAAATAGATCTGAAGGCTCCTTTTTGGCGCTTCCTAAGGTGACAAGGGTTGCTCCCAACGTGTTGCGCTCATGCAAAGAGAGGGGCGATTCCGTTAAAATTGTTCACTATGCCCTTGTTTTCCAAGTTTCAACACCTTTTCGAGCACTGCCCTGCAGCCATCAATTTGGCGGTGAGTTTTTGTTATAGCGTCTTAACAGACTGCGCCGCGCATTCCCACGAAGAACAAGTGTTCAGGAAAAAACAATGCAATGTGCAAAGGATTCGCCGCAGAAAATAGAAAGGGTGGTGGCCCACTATGGGCTGAACTTGTACCACAAGCCAAGGGTTCTGGCGGCAGCGTTTCCATCTGAAGGTGTCTCATTAGTGTGACCGAACCCATCAAATCCCAGCGGTCTTTTAATCGCAGACTTGTGCTTGGTGATGTTGTATGTTGCAGTAAATCAACAGCAATCGTAATCAGCAGCAGCTTGATCAACCAACCGCGAACCGCGCTTGCCTGCCATGCTCATGGCATGCTCATAGTCATGCTGCATCCATGACCTCGGCTCCCGAGGCTACTTGGGTCACAAGTACACCGGCGGGACCTTGTGCCCCCTGATGACCTCGTTTTTGGGGAGGTGGACTACTAGCAACAAGAAACTACTAGGTTGGAGGCCATCGACATGGCTGTCAGTTCACTTGCCAGCTCGCCGTGCAGTTTTTTTTTTGACATATGATAATGTTGGCCAAATCTACCCAGGCAAACGCATGCCAGCAAGAAAAATGTTAGCGGTAATTATGAGGTAAGGTGGGTGACAAGTCGAGGGAAACAACGCAACTTGGTGCCATGATTGAAGCCATGGCAGCTCGTCTGAGACTCGTGGGTGACCGCCGCCTGGCTCTGAGCACATGATTGCAAAGCCGCATGGGAAACAGGGAAACGCACGTGAAAGCGACTGCTTTTGGGAAAGCACCACGGAGCTTTGAACTCTGAACCAAGGTCAGGTGAGCATGCAAGGAGCTACTTGGATGAAACCTTTGAAGGGTTCTTTTGTTGTGTTTTTTTGTTTCGATGCCTGTTGAACGACATTCGATATTTTGTTGAGGCGTTTCCCCGATTGTTTGGAATGAGTGTGAGTGCTGTCCCCTTTGTATGTTGGTATGCCGCATGCCCCAGAAGTCGTGTCGAAAACCACTACAAACAGTTCCAACACACTACATCCAACTTCTCATCGTTTTGGACTCGTCAAGGTCTGCAGATGAGACATTGCCTTGAGGCGCTGCGAGTGTGGCCCTGATGGTGCGTCCTTTATCTTACCATGTGGGAAACCTGTGAATGAAGTGCAATTTGCAGCTGAAGAATGATTCTGGTGGAACCCGTTCTCACACCACCAAGGCATGTCATTGTGTTTCCTTGGCATGGTTCAGTTTTTGGTATGTTCTAGTTGAGCAATTTGATGTCTTTTTGCAGTCAATTCAAGGTGCTTGAAGCAGTCGACTTCAGATGCGGTGCTTGAAGATGCCCGACGTGGTGATTTTTTCAGGCCGAAGGTAGCTGCAAATGCTGTGTGAAGCAGCTCGGTGTTGGGCAGTTGAGTCGGCAGTTGAGAAACAGCATCGATGGGAAAAAGACACTGAGAAAAAACACAGTGTTGAGATTTTGGTGATGATGAATCGCCGCGTCAAGTCTGAGGTATGATCTCAGACACAGATGCGTCTTGGTCAAGCCGGGACTTGGCAAATCTTTTGTGGGCTGCAGGCGCTGTCGGGCTCAAATAGGGTTTCTCTGCTCGGGATGGACATTGGAAGAACTAGACCGGTGTGGGTGGTGTTGACTTTGTTTTTCCATGTTCACATTAGGTGCACGCAGGCTGGCTAGGCCATACGGCCGAGTGCAGTTTTTTTTTCGATCCGTCCATGTTTCCGGCCGGGTCACCTACTGCTGAAGGTAAGCTGAAACGGAGTGACCCACTGCCGAGCACGACACTGGCAGCTTCTGAACTCACCGCGGGGGATCTGGCGAACGTTGTGCCTCGGTATTAAAGGCGCCTTGAACAAACCACAGAACCCTACAGGTCAAGGACCTCACTTGACTGGATCCGGTCATGCAAAACCAGTACTCAATGAGGTCAGTCAGACCAGGTTTAATTAACTTGGCCCGACTGGACTTGTAGGGGAAGGTCGACCGGCACAAGACGACACCTGCAGAGATCCGTTTTCGGAACTCGTTCGGCGAGGCGCTTTCCGACCGGTCGATCGAATTCTCTGCGGTCGCAAGGGTTGACCGATGAAGCCCGAGGGCGTCCGTTTTCCCATTTTTTTTGTCGTCCTGTTTTGAGAAACATTTCGGACCTGCTCTGGATTGGGAAAAGGAGAGAGACGTCCATGAGGCTCTTTCCCCCGGTCACGTGGTGTTTCGACCCGCAATCCAAACCGCCTTGCCCTTTGCCTGGTCTGCCGGCCGGACTTTCGGCCGCTCGAAGGACGTTTTCCCCAGGTTTGGACCCATGCCGTCCTCCGGCGGCCTCTGGAGCCGTTGATGGTGAAGCGCCTGGGCCTTCTGGGCGAGTTCCGCCTGCGGGAGTTGACCAACAGAGCGTGGAAGACAGGCGCTGACTCCGGACAGCCGAACGAGGTCGAAGCTGGTCGACCGAGCTGCAAACAAAGCTGATATCGAGTGCGTGGGGAGATGCAGAGGAGCGAGTTTTGATATCGAATGATATGGAAAAGGCTGGTCTTTGTTCAGGTATCTCGGGATGGATGATAGCCTTCACAAAAAAAAATCCCTGACAGTCCATCCTCCAGTTCCGGACACGTCTGTCCCGGCAAAGAACATCTGCGAGGTTTGAGGTTCCGGAAACGTCTTCGGCTCCATAGGGCCCATTGATGCCGTGTTTCGAAGGCCGATCAGCCACGAACGCGGTGAACACGCGGCGTCACACGCACCTTGTGACCGCCAGGTGTGCTGCAGCTGCCCGAGGCCATCTTGGCCGAATCGATGCGTCGAGTGCTGGACGTGCCAGCGCGAATTGAAGCACGAGACCTGGCCAGCTTGGTGTGAAGCTGTGGGAAAGTGGTCTACAAAGAAGAGATGCTTTTGGAACAGGTGTGCCTTGGAAGTTGCGTTCAAGTGCATTCAAGCTTCCAGATTTCTCTGAGCGGCACCAGTCTGGGCTAGCAGGCTATAATATCAGCAACTCCTGCTTCGTTTCCAACTCACATCCTCCAGTACCATCTTCCGAACCTATGTGGAATGTGGAAGGTGGTCAGAATCCTTCGCTTTGTGTCTTCCCCGTGGTCAGACACCCAGCGATCCATCGCCTTCTTTGGCGCACCGGGCCGCGTGCGATCCAACGGTGGCCGAAACGAGGTGCTGAAGGGCTCGGGCGGTGCTGTGAGCGACGCGCAACATTTCCGCGCAGGACTTAGCCAATCTGGCGCAGGACTGGGGTTTTCCATATTTTTATGATAGGCCAATAGGGAGTGAGGGTTTCATTTTTAGGTTCTTTGTGACTTGTTGCGCCACGGGTGGTTGCAGCAAGGATGAGATGGAATGGTTGTGAGCTCTATAGCTGCTTTGAGTGAGTACTCATTCGTGGCATGAGCAGATGTCAAAGTTTCTAATTTCCTTTGAGACCGGAAGAAAGCGCTTTCTTTGGGGTCTTCGAATTCGAATCCGCCGGCGGTTGACGTCACCTCAGGGGGAGGAAGGGCTCCTCGCCACCATCTTGGTGTAAGCGCAGAAGAGCCTGAAGAGCCTGTGAGGAGATGACGAAGCTGCAACATGTGGACGAGCAGCTCTTTGAGATGACATCTTCGAGAGCTTCTTGGCCTAAGGAGGACCCTTCCGGTGGTAGAGGCGAAGTCCTGCCCTGCTCGCATCAAGCTTTCTTCTTCCTTCTTAGCATCAGGTTTGGGTGGCTGGAAGCCTGAGAGGTTCTACTGGACCCGGAAAACTTCACCGATTCCGGTCACGTCGACACCCCTCCGGGTCGGAGGACCCCTGACCCGACCCCTCCGGGTGTCTGGAGGCCTTGGATCTGGTTCCGACCTTTAAAATGATGGAGATCTCCAGCATTGCATGGACCTTCGCGTCGAGCCAAGTGTTTGCGGAGCCTTTGATGTCTGCACTCAGTTGGGGACCCCAGTGCAGTTGGCAGTTGGAGATTGGGTCTGTTCCCGTCCCAACAAATTCACGAAAAAACACGGCATTCCTTCAGGGTCTTACATTTGGAGTGTGTGCCCGGATTCTTCTGTTGTCCACAACACCGCGGAGAAGAAGTGAAAGGGGATGGGTTGGATGTGGCTTTGTTCACACCTATATTAGCCTATGTCTGCGTGAGGAAAGAACGCTCTTGGCCTCATGTCCTCCTTGAAGGTCCAAGGTTTTCCTCGAACGGGACGAACGCTTTTTGTACTCTCTCCAGTGTCTTTTTGTTTGGTCCTCAAAGGTTTTGATGATTTTCCTCCTGGAGATGTTTTTGGGCCTTGAAGGGTGCACTCCTAAATCCCCGAGAAGAGGAAGATTGTCTTCTACACCCTACCTCTACCATGTCGGGGCAAACTGTCAGTGTGTGCCACAGACTGTGTGGAAGGTGAAATCTTTGTGCTGTTTGGTGGGTGTTCTTGGACTATCTCCCTCCGCTCTTTTCAATTTTCTTTCTCTTGTTCTTGAACCCTTCTCTCCCTTCTCGACTTGCTGTTTCTTCTCCACTCGATGCTTTTAGCAGAAGATGACCCAGTTGAGCCACTCCGTCCTCCAAAAACACCTCTCCACACCTGATTCGGGTCCCAGGTCCTCAGCCTCCTTGCGACGTGACGCGTCGCACGAACCGACCGGTTCTCAGGTCGCCAGGTGGCTCGGCACCTGCAGCGCCCTGAGCGCAAGTCCGCCCGCAGCCTGGCAGGGATCCTGTGGGCGCTGGCCAAGACGCTCTGGCCGGACGAGGCGGGACGAACCGACCGGAACAGACCCGGGTGGGTTGGGTGGAACGGATCCGGGAGACTTGGGCCGGGTTTCGGGTGAAAGAGACGGACCTCATAGGAGCTCATAGATGCACCATGGACATTGAACCTTCTTCGTTTTCAGAACCACTGCCATGATCTTTTGACATGTCTTACACCTGGGATTGAAATCGATCAAGACAAGGATGGATGTTTGACCCACTTCCAGCTGCGAGTTCATGCCCTCGAAGAGGCCCTCGAAGAGGCGCTGGCGACGGAAATCCTTTCGCATGAGTTAAATCCACACAGCCTGGCAGCCACCGCGCAGAGCCTGCGTTTGAGAGAGTTGATGCTTCTATTGAGTCAATCATTGATCCACAATGACTTGAGAAGGTGCGTTTCGCCTGTTCCTGTGATTCTTATTGCATCCTATTGCCCTTCTTTGCTGCACAGCGGGCGAGAGGACATATTTTCCTTTTTGGGGTGAGGGAGAGGGCGATCGCTGAAAAGTACTGCTGAGCTAGACCAGCATCCTCAAGAGAGCATCAATCAGAAGGTGCTTTCATCCCCGTTCTTTCCCAAATTTGGAAAGCCTTCCCTGCCACTCACTCACTCACTCGCTCACTCACTCACTCACTCACTCTCTCACTCACTCGCTCGCTCACTCACTCACTCACTCTCTCTCTCTCACTCACTCGCTCGCTCGCTCACTCACTCACTCACTCCCTCGCTCACTCACTCACTCACTCTCTCTCTCTCTCTCTGTTTCTCCCTTTGACCCGGCGTCAGCAACGACCGAGGTCTGGTGCATGGCTCGCCTCACCTTGCGCCACCTCGCCCTCCAGCACCTGGGCTCGGGCGCCGGCCTCGCCCAGGCAGTTCAGCACTTCGGCGCGCAGGAGTCGTCCAACAGAGGCGCCCCGTGGGTCGTGGGTCGCGTCGAGCCGGGTGGAGCCGGGTGGAGCCCGGTGGTTGGGTTTCACATGTCGCCCTTTGCACATGTCCAGACATGTGCGGAGGGGTCGAAAGCTTGCTGGCGGTGGTAGAGACGGTTAACACTGTCACTCTTTTTCGGATATGTTCCATGGGGGTTCGGACAGCCATTGGGCGAAGTCCTAATGACAATGCAATTCTGCTCAATGAAATTAGCCCAGCTCAGTCAATTTAGCCAAGCGAAGAAGATGCGTTCTGCTGCAGAGCTGAAGTGTGAAATGCCAGAGGCTGAACCTTTGCAACGATGCTACTGGTCAAGCAACAGCTTTTGAATGCCTTGGCGGAGCGTGCGTGGGACGTGTTGGAGGCAGGATGGAGATGACCGGGTGGGAGGTTTTAGGCGGCGTCACTTGGCCAAGAAATTCTTCATGATTGTCCATGTTCCATGAAAAGACAAGGATTGTTCCAACCAACCCCAACAACCAACCAAACGAACACTTCATTTTTTCCTTTTCCAGTCCACTCTTCTCCTCCTTTTCTGCGGTCAGATTTCACTCTGAAGTGTCCCTTTCCTCTGTCACGATTGCTTACCCTTGCAAGTTGATCTGTTTGAAAGACCTGAACCTTCGCTTCGCGAGGCCAAGACGCAGGAGCTTGCCAATATGTGTCAGGCGAGAAGAGCTTCCACGCCTCTGTCGTGTCGTGTCGCGTGGAGTCCGAACACGACCGAGGCCCTGGCCATTTTGCGGTGCCGGGAGAAGAGCTTGCTACGAGCCATGGCGAACTGCTTGCTGCAGGAGAGGCATGGCTGCAGGGCCGATCCGCCTTCTTTCGCTGGCGAAAGCGACGAAGATCCCCGCGACTGGAAGTGGGGTGCAGGAAGTTCATACTTCCTGGGGTGAGAAATGTTTAGAGTCTAGAGAAGGGAGAGAAGGCGCGTGCAAAGCAGCACGCTGCTGCGTTCTCTGTATTCTCCGCCATTTCTGGAGAAGAAATATCGACAAGTCGTGCTTTGTCAGCTGTTTTTCGTTCGCAGATTTGTTCAGCTGTTCGTGCGAAGACATGACTTTTCATGTTGGGTCCATCCCCTTGGGACAGTTTTGCATGTTCTATTTGATGGAGAGGGAGGCAGTTGTGGGTCGTTTGAAGACTCTCTACTTCAACCAGGGTTTGTCAAAGGGCAGCAAAGGAGATGATGTGCCATTGTGCATTGCTTTTCCGGTTGGTGCAACAATCACGCTTGCTGGTCGCCCGGCCCGGTTCGTCCATTCCGCAGAGCCCCAAGCAGACTCGACCAGGTCTTCCGCGGCTCGCGCAAGCGCGCCAGGATCAACGACCAGAAGCGCGACATCTTTCGAGTACGTCTTGAACCTTGAGAACAACCATGGTTGTGGAGGTCCCTTTGATGACCAGGCAAGATAGTCTCGGAAGCGGAAAGAATGGATCTGGTACATGGCACAACAGAAGCAACCAGCGGACATGGACAGTGGCTGTTTGTTACTATTAGTGTTCTTATGAGTCGAACATGTGATAGTTTCTATCCTAGAACATCCTGCAACTTGTGCATCGTGCAGCGATTCTTATGGTGATGAATCGCCACAGGCCACAAAAAAACAACTTGTTTGCCAGGCTGGCATCCTCCTCATTGGCGCTGGAAGACTTGGGCCCACAAGCGATTTCCAACATGTTGCAATGCTTTGCCACCCTGCAGCTCCTTCATTTTCCAGCAGCTAGGCTTCCCCCTGCCCTTAGAGTCGTTCCCTTGATTTGTGCTCGGGTTCGAAGGGACCGAGCCCCTTTTTTCTCTACACGCTCTTCAAGTCACAAAGTCGGCGCAAGCTTGGCCTATCGCCTCGATCGACTGCAGCCTTCGGGCCACGGTCCGAGGTGATGCACCGGATGTCTTCCTTGGCCTTGATGCAGCTGTCCAGCTTTGGTTCCCAGGAGCCGGGGGTCCCAAAGCATCCGAGACGAGGCACGCTGTTTGAGGTGGAGAAGCTATCTGGACAGACGTTGTTGTCCTGGAGACTCCGTCCCACCCCGGCCCAACGTGTCCCTGAGTGAAAACCTCTGAAACAGACATGGGGATGAGTGAAAACCACGAAAACGGGACAATGTTGCATCCCGAAACACATTGATATCAGTTCGGTGTTGTCCTTTTTGCCTGGCGACCAAGACGCCGCGATGGGAACCTAATTCGATGCAGTTGCTGATGGAATTGAAGGTACGAACAGGTCAATCTGGGGTTGTTGATGTGTGTACAATACGCTGGGAGGTCTCCCTATTTGAGCTACACACCCATGTGTGTCGTCCCACCGGATGTTTTGTGCTTCTCGCTCGAGGTTTGCCAATCTGGTTTGGTCGTGCGCCACCTTGATCTACGTGAAGGTCTCGTTGTTGACGGCCATGGAAGACGTGGAGCTCCGGCAGTTGAGCCTCCGGCCGTCTTTCAACTGCACAGAGGGACCGAAGCGAACGGACGACCGAAGCGACGACCGAACCGACGGAACCGGTGGTCCACGGTCCAGCGACGGTCACCGGTTTGGGGTTTGGGGGGGGTGAATGGACAGCTCTTGGCCTCTGAATGAGCTATGAATTTTAGACACCTAATTAAGGGGCCCTGGCATGCAATTGTGAGGCCACAAGAAAAAAGAGAGACGCCGTGCAAGAACTGCTGGGAAACGGCTGTGCAAGACCTCGCTTGGTGTTTGTGGTTCTACGTCCCGAGGCTGGAGTTGAGCAACACGGTGGGAGCCTAAGCCATGCTGTGAGGAGAAGGAAAAGAATACAGGCTCCGCTTTCATCCGCTTGGAAAAGCTCTGAAAAGAGCTTCTCCCTGCTGAAGTCCTCATCCAGTCAGTTTGTGTGGTGCTTGATTTCTGTCGTCCAAAGTACCCTCTGACTCACCAACATGGAAGTCGAGGTGAAAAACCATCTCTTTGTAGAGTGAAGATGCTCTTCTCGGTGGCCAGAACGTCCATTTCCATGGCGAGTCGCGGTGTACCTCTTCAGGTCTGAACCTTTGCCACACTTCAGCTCGGACGTGTGGACCGACTGGCCAGCAGCATTGAGTCTCTGCAAGGCGGGTTTGTGGAATTCAACGAAGTGGCGGATCACAAGAAGCGGGATTTCCGGCAGATTGTGGGTTCTTCCAAGGCATGGTAATGCGTTGATTTGACCCACCAACATCTCTTTAATGGGCATTAATCCCCCAAAAGAACGGATTGTTAGGCTTATGTACCGCCCAACCGAAGCTTTTTATTGACTTGTTGAAATTTGACCAAGCCTCCCTCGTCGCAGTGGCATCTGGCTGAACTCACTCGGCTTCTGCACTTCATCTGTGCGAACAGCACGCCCGGGCAGGACTTCCCCCTGAGGGTCTGGCGATCACCGCATGAGCACTGGCGGAACTGCGGTGTGAAACCGTGAATTTGTTCATGTCCATTGCAGAGGCTGCCAAGCCTCAGGCGTCACCAGAGTCAGAGGGGAACGATGGGATGGTGTCGCCATGGGTATCCATGGGTAAAGTCCCACTTGGGATGCATCGGAAGGTCCGGTCCAAATGAATTGAGTGCAAGGTGAGTCCTCGGTTTCCAACCAAGGACTCTTCCGTCTCTTACTCTGTGCCCCAGAGTGATGGTGTTGAGGCTTCTTCGCTGTGAAGCTAGAGACAGGTGAAGGCGTTTTTGGGCCAGTCTCGCACGTGGGTGTGTAGCTCAAAGAGGGAGACCTCCCAGGCAACGACCATCTGGAAGGTTAGAGTTAGACCAGCCTACCCATTGGTTTGGGGTGGTTGCAGCTCTTCTTATTCAAGGACACACCCACCTGGGAAAGCTTTCTCCTGCCGAATTGCAGGTCATGGACTTCGCTGAGGAGGAGAGTTCCGAAAAAGCCCGGTGCCCTTTTTGGCCGGGGGTCTTTCGCACCCCCAGGGCACGTGCGAGAACTGGTCTCAAAATCGGACCAGTTCCTGGAGTGCTCCACTGTGTTGTGGTCAAACTCAGTGGAGCCTGGTCTTGAGAAGCTTCATTTCCTTCTTCCTCAAGGCACTGGCAAGGGGAAAGTTCAAGTCTCTGGCACCTGGGTCGGGCACCATGAGAACTGCTTGGTGGGCACCACCCGAGCCTTCCAAAAAGGCTTCCGCCATCGCGCGGAGTTCCTCTCCAGGAGTTCCGGATGTTGCTTTGGTCGCTGCCACGCTGTGCGCTGGACAGCGCCCTCACCTTGCTGGAGCACGCGGAGGTGCCGGAGCTTGGGTTTCCGACGGAAAGCAGCAAGAAGAACTGGCAAGACATGGCAAGACATCAGGAACTTAGGATCAACCATGAAGTCATGAAGTGGCTTTTTGGACATACACAGCATACATTTGCCTTTCCATGCTTCTTGCCATTTTGGCTTGGGCACCAAGCACGAGCATGACTTTCGAAGACCGTCATGGCCTGTCCTGACCGCACGGGTGAGTGGGACCTGACTCAACCCGCCGAGGCGGCGGGGAGAACGTTGACGGCGCAGTGCTTGAGCGCGTTGCTGGCCGAGGCGGAGCAGCGGCAGCTGGCAAAGCTGGAGGAGGGGAGTGGGCGGAGCTGGAGGAGGGGAGTTGGAGGAGGTAAGACCAAGAGAGCAATCCGCCTTTTCTTGTATAGAACCCAGAAGAGGCTGGTTGCATTTGGCAATTGAAGCAAGATCTCTGGGCAAGTACTACTATTTCCCTCCGACTCACTCACATGGAAGTGGAACATTCCAACCTCTGTTTGTAGAGAAGGCCTTCCTTTCCAAGGTACCCTGCCAATCCACTTCCTGCCCATCCCATGTCGTAGCCCGTTTTCCTTTTTGACCAGTTCGGGGCACTGAAGCGCTGAGCCGCGCTCCCTTCGCACGTCCAGGCAGCGCTCCTGCAGCGGCTCGGCCGTTCCGCGTCGCCGTCGGAGGGTTTGGCACAGCTCGCGGCGAGCGCCGCGCAGGACCAAGGGGGAAGAGAGCGATCGATAGAGCTCATGGGGATGTGTTCGCATTGGGCCAGCTTGAAAGCTCATAGCCACATTCTTTCTGAAGCGACCAAGAGGTGGCCCCGAAGCGCATGCATCTTGCTCTTGCTCTTGCATCTTGCATCTGCATTGGCGCCTACTGCTCCACCGCTCTTTCAAGGAGCACCACTCCACCATGACGGACGTGAGCGCTTACACGACACGGTCAAAATGGTCGGCTCTCAAGTCGTGTTCTCGGAGACGCGCAGAGAAAAGGATCCCGTCAACACACGCGGACGGGGCGCCGACCCCGCATGAGGTTCATTCTTCCCGCATCTTCGGCTCCAGCGTTTTTCCCGGAACGGAACCGCACGGTGCCAGCCGAGAAGCGGAAGCCTCAGCGGAAGCCTCGCCAGGGAGGGGAGGAGTTGGATCTGGCAGCGGATGGGATTCGAAAGGAAGAATGGCCTCCAACCTACGAGCGATGGCTTCCAAGAGGTAGAAGAGGGAGAAGACCACGGCATGCCCACAAGAAGGAAGACTCTGCTTGGGAGCAAAACTGACAGAAAGAACGGTGTTTGGTGCTACAAGAAATCTCTGAGGAGTGATGAATCTCGAACCAGACTTATATATTTGTCGTTGTGAAGTGGAAGAGTAGAAGAGTAGCTCGGAAGAAACCAAGAAAATCATCCATAAGCTCAAGAGAAAGAGCCCCAAGAGGTAAGCAGGGCTATTCTTTCTTTGGAAACAGTGTTTGGTGCTGCAGATGCAAAGATATTGCTATTGGTTGAACTTGCACGGATCATGCTTGACATTGCGGGGACGACCACTGGTGTTGCTCGTTGATCCCATTCATCACTTTTCTGGTCTGCTTTGAAACCAATTGAAGCGGAGGTACAAATTATTTGGATTGATCCATTCGTGACCCTGTGGAGTTGGTGTTGTAGAACCACATGAGAGATCAGGGCTCAGCCCGGAATGCTCAAATCTGCCAGTCCAGTCGTGCGACAGGCGATCGCTCGTGTGACCTGCAAGCACATCGCTTCGCTGCTCTGAAGCCCAATCGCACCTGCAAGCACCTGCAAGCTCTGTAGATCACTATTCAACAGAACCCCATCGAGCACCACCGCGCACCACGTTTGAGCACCTCCTTCGATGCTGCCATGGAGCCCACCACACTCCCCTTCGAGGCGAGGGGGGGCATGTTGAAGCCAGGTCCGTCGGTCTGTCGGATTGGAATGAAAACTCCTGGTAGATTGGATTCCAAGACTTTTTGATGTAGATTTTTTGGCCTGCAGAGGTTGAGGAGCCCAGAGGACTGCGCCGCAACTGCAGTTTTGGGCCCAAGCGCTAACTTTGGCTTGAGCAGTGGAGTCTCGTCCCCCCAATTACCTGCCATCGCATGTCAGAGGTGCTTGGTGTTTTCCCGGAGTTCAGGATTCGCGACGAGAGAGGCACACCAGGTGGATTGGTGAAGACCAAAGTGTATCGTGCACAGAATGGTCGGCAGGCACTTGAAGTCCACTTATGGGGCGAAGTCAGCGCAGAACATGCAAACTTGATTCTGCACTGGGGATTTCTGCATCAAAAAGACTCCTTTGCTTGGACTCGACCAGGGAAAGTGGCATGGCCTGTGCCAACCTGGGCAGCCGAACCGGAAGCGTGCCAAAGTCCGGTGATTGAGACTGGGACATCGATGGGGCACAGTGGCTCACCGAAAAGAACTTGGATGCTCGTTGTGCGCATTCCCATGGAGGTGATGCCAAAAGGCTTTGCCTTCGTTCTCAAAATGGATCAGAACCGCTGGTTCAAAAAGGGTCCCCAGAAGGGACCAGACGACTGTGTGGTCAGTCTGGAAGGATTGAGTTTGGGCCCTAGCTCACAGAGCCCACAGCCTGAACCTGCTCCATCATCCCGGACTGCCAGTTTTTCCTCCTTCTCCTCCGCACTCACATTCTCCAGCTGGTTCGTCGTGGATGGCGACCAATGCTTCTTGCCAAACGCGGCCTTCCCCAATGAGGATAACACCGGGTTGACCTATGTGTCTGCCTTGCGGGCAGGCTCCAAAGTGCTTTCAGCTGATGAGGAGGTGACGGTTCAATCCATTCAGGAGCATCCCGAAGACCGGCATGAAATCGTCCTGGTGGGCACGCGACATGCACAGATCAGGGTCTCCAAAGAACACCTGATTCCAGTTCGCATCGCAGGGAAGGACATGGTGCGGAAGGCAGCCTGGCGGCTGGCCCTCAACGACTTGGTCTTGGTCAACAATGAGCCCTCTCCGGTGAAGAAGATCAAGGAAGTGGGTCTGAAAACAAAGCTTTTCGCAGTCCGCTTTGAGAACCCCAACACGCGGGTGAAGGCGTACGATCTATCGAGTCCCATTCAGGCATACGGCAACCCGAACATCGAAGACCCAGCTCGCAAGATGGCCTGGGAAGAATCATGGGATTTACTCAGTGAGGATCATTTGCGTCAGGCTGCACCTGCATCCTATCAGGATTGATCTCGGGAGGTGCGGTGCCGGGTATAGTGCTGGGTCTTTCGTGCCGAGTGAGGCACAATTCATTGACGTCCCCCCGTCAAGGTGGGACAATGCATCGGAGTCCTTTGCACCTGCTCCTGGTCCTCACACGTCCATGGGTCACCATCCGGCGTGGCTAAGGTCGGAGCAGGAGGTGATTTGGCGCTGCGTCTTCTCCGAAAAAAGACCTTGGCCCCTCGGTGTAGGGTGAAGAGCTACGAGGAAAGGGAAGTCCAAATCGAGATCAGCCGACATGTCATTTCAACTCTCTCGCATCGCATCTCGGCCTTTTTTGCGGATTCTTTCCATCTGGATGTCCTCCACCCGCCGAATCGAAGCTGCGGACCCGCCACCTCCGGGTCCGCACCGGGCTTCCCGCCGCGGGCACCGCGCCGCATAGCCGGCACTTCAGGCGCTGCGTCCGCGGAGCGCATGGGACGATGAGGAGATCCAACCTTGGCAACTTGGAGCCCGGGAGCCGAGTGCGGGACCTCGCCCCGGACCGGAACGCGTGCAAAAGGCCTGCGAAAAGCGTGATGGAAGGTTTTTGGGCCCGAGGGGTTTTGGGGAAGCCCGGTTTCCGTTTTCTGGTCGTCCGCCGTGAAACGCTGAGGACGGGTCCGCGGTGGAAAGGGTGTCGTGGAAAGGATTGATGTAGAACAGCGGGTGTCACCCGGTGGTTGAAGAATCAGCGGGTCTTCAGCTGTTTCTGACTGTCAGAGCGGGTTGGATCTTTGACATGACGAGGTGGTCATGGTGGTCATCATTAGTCATCATGAGTCAAGAGCCAGGCTAGGCGAACGTTGGGCAGAAGAAGCGAGGATAAGTATAAGGGGGTGAATCGAACATTTTTTGTTGAACTTCATGGGGAAGCGATGTATTTTGTTGAATTTGGGGTTCGTGCCCAAGTGATGCTGGTAATGCAGTCAGAAACAGATTGTATTTACCAGTATCCTTGCCCATTTCGTCAGTGAGAGGGGTCATGGCGCGTGATTTCTGGGAAGCATCCAAGGCCACATGCACCCAGCGTTCGTGCGGGCACTCAGGGAATTCGAGATGGTGTGCGACCCATGAGGAAGTACGAAATTGATGATTGATCTTCTTCGGCTTTTTCCAGCTGAACATGGTGTTTGGATGCGTATGGTTTCCGTCGGCGGCTTCCGCGTGGCCATTTCTTGCACGCGATGTCGACAGCAACCTGGTCTCCTCTCCCGAACGTGTGCGTCGGTCTATGCTGGTCACCGCGCGCAGGGCCGTGACCTCCAACTTGGTGAGCACCATCAACCTTGGGCAGTGCGGCCCCTAAGCATCTGCGGAAGCCAACGGTCAGCGGGTGGAGGTCCCCAAGGCCTTGGGGAGGACGGAAAAAAGTGCTTCCGGGCACATGCTTTCATAGGAGTAGGATTGATCATTCATTCTCAGTATAGGTATAGGAGTAGGACTTTCCAATTCTTTTTTCAATAGGCAAGAATGTCAGCACTTTTGGTCCAAAATCAACATTTGTTCCTGGAGTCTCAAAGTACCTCAGAAAATGGGGGTCATGTACCATTTTCTAAAAGGTACTTTGGAGGGTCAAGGTCAATCCATGTTTAACCCTTTGACCTTGATAATACTTGGGCAGTCCTTCGAGTCGAAGGTGAAGACTCCCTTCTCCCTCCATGCCTCTTCTGGGCTTGCCCTTGGGCTTCAGGTTGGTCTCAGGACCCGAAGAAAAGACCCCCCAAACCCACCCAGGTCTCGGGCTCCGAGGACGTGCTGTCACGCTCACGCTCGTACCGTACGCTTGGTTCGTTGGTTGGAGCTTTGGAGGTTGGGAGGATCCATGGGAAGATTGCTTGGCTGGTAGGTTGGAGAAGACCACGCCTGGTAGAAGACCAACCGACCAACCTTGGAGGCCTTGGTAGGTTGGTAGGTCGGTTGGTCGGTTGGTAGCCCCGCGCTGCCGGCCGGCCGTCACTCTCACCCTCAGGTCTTCGCCGCTCCGGTGCCTTCGGTCGCCGGACCCCGCGCACCGGCGACCCGACCTGCGCCACGACGTGCTGGCGCCGCCCGGCGCACGCACATCGGACGGACGCGGACGGGGACGGGTTGGACTGGCCGAAGGCGGAAGAAGGTGGAGAACTGCAGTTGGGAGGTGTTGGGAGGTGGGAGAACACGATTTGGGACGATTCTGCAGATTCCGTGGTTCTTTTGGCAGGCCGCCATAGAATCTTGGCCGGACGCCCTTGTTGTCGAGTTTGGAACCAAGGTCAGACGACTTCGGATATCCCAATCCTTCACCGCAACGAGTGACCCGGACGGCATTCGAAGACCAAAGGAGAGAGCCGAGAGAACGGAACGACGAAGGTGAAGAGGCAGTTGAAACGAACAGTTTGATGACTTTATACCAACACCTCGGAAAGGGTGGATTTTTTTGAGGGAACATACATAGGAAAAGGGGTGTCTGTAAACCACCCTTTCCTCCGTGGTGCTTGTATGATTTTCGATGATTTTCGTGTTGCTGCGTAGTCTGCTGAGACCAACCACCCGTCTTCATGTTTTAGCTTGTCTCTTCTCACAAGCTAAGCATGCTGCGGCCAACATGCTTACCTCAGCGGCTCAACGCAGTCAAGTTGATTGGAAAGCCAATCTTTGCGTCAGTGGAGGTCCAATTCGAGCGCAATGACCGCGTTCAGCGACAGCCAGTGCGGTGCTGAGGCAAATGGAAAGCCTGACGGTGAATGGAAAGCATGTTTATGCCATATGCTTTTGGCTGCTTCTCACGTCGAAGATCGTTCCAATCGTCGAAGAACTCTCATGGTGACCGTGGTCCGTGGTTTCGTTTGATTCTCTCCTTTCCTCCTTCTCTCCTTCTCTTCCCTTTCATTGGCGTGTCCTCACGTCCTCACCCAGGTGGGAGCTGCCCCTCCGCCACGGATCCCATCCTTTAAGGCAACGGATCCGTCTCGCGCCGGCGTGGGGCGCTGGTGAAGCGGGTGAAATGCATTGGGTGCGACCCGACCTTGTTCCGTTCGGAAGGGCCTTCTTCGTGTGACCGGAAAGGAGTCAGAATACTCCACTATGCAAGCTTCGTTTGTACTCAACGATGCAAACACGACCAGATGGCCATAGATTGCAACCCTTTTTCCAAAAAGAAAGACCCCACCAATGCACCAGAGAAATGATCGTGACAGTGACAACCTGTGAAAACCTCCAAAAACAAAGCAACCTATCAACGTGCCTTTGAACGCCCCTCTTCCACAGACGTCCCGCTGACCACCATCCAGACCTATAGTTGCAACATGTCGCAACGTCCCATCCAGACCGTTCGGCTGATTCTAATCCACCTCGATCACAGGAAGCCTTGCGCTTGGCGTCTACGCCCAGTACGAGCGCCACGTCTGCGCGCTCGGCGGCCAGATGGGAGGAGTGGCTCGGCCAACTTGGCTCGGCACGTCGTCCTTGGGATGACGAGAACGGAAGTGAGAGCAGTTCAGACGGAGTTGTGCAGATCTGGCCTTGGGATGATGAGAATGGCCTCTTGAAAAAGAGTCAAGCTGCAAAAAGAAGAATAGAAATCATCTACCAGCACCCTCCAACAGGTCACCACCTGACACTTTTAAGTCTCCAAAAGCTACCAGAGGAGACCTGTTGGAGGGTGCTGGTATTGTTGAGTTTCCTTCAAGATGTTTGAAGGACCATCAGTCTTGTGCACCTAGCAAAGATAAGTCAAGTTTATATACCACCACCCTTCCCAATCTCATCCAATCTCTTTATGAAAGCCAGCTGTTTGATGAGGCAAAGCCAGAATTAGGCATTTTTCTTTCATTTTGATGGTAGAGCGTGACATCTCTGTGTTTTTTTTGGGCTGACACAATGCATGAGTAGACACAAGTATGCATTTCGCAGCCCAACACGGATCATCCTGGCGACTGGAGGGCGGAGTTCCCACCCACCGTCGAGTCCCGAGGCCTTCGGAGTCCCGTTCAGCCGCATTCACCGGGCTGCGGCTGCCGGCGCCCAGCCTGCCCAGCTTCACCAACCGCCGGAGCCTGGCAGAGTCTGGGGGCCCAGCTGGGCCTGGTACGGATGAGTACAGGAGCAAAGGACGCTACCTTTGGGGCTCCTGGCCATACTAGGAACAAGAAGCTACGAACGGAGCAAGGGAGAGGAACGATGGCGGGACTCGTGCAGAGCACAGCGGCTTAGGCTGGACTTGTTGGTTGCAGAGGCGCCAGAAGATGTGGCGGGACTCGCGCAAGCATCTAGAGTCTTGTGTTTGTGGGATGGGCAAGGAGAGGTCCAGGCTGAGAGGTCCAGGAGGTCCAGTGCTATCAGCCCTGGGGCCACTGCGCTCTCTCCGGGTACCCCGGTAGCCCCGCGCTCTCCTTGGCAGGCTGAGAGCCGAATCCGCAATCTGGAGCTCTGGCATGCAACCCCCTGCAGCTTGGGCTGATGAGAGGAAAGAATCAAGCAGGGTGAAGTGCTTTCCATGTCAGCCATCTCGAGGCAATGTCAGTCTAATGTCAGCCATGTTCGTGGTGGGTCCTCTGGACTTGCCCCAAGGCCCAGAAGTGCCAAGCCGTTTCGGCATGAAGTCCAACTTGGAAGAGTGCCTTGGAGCCATTATGGCAGGGAAACATGCTGTGAAGATTCAGACACTGCTTGGACAACCCAACTCGGTGGGGTTCAAGGGCATAGCAACATACTTGGCAGAATGAAGAATTGTAGACGTAAGTGGCATGGTACTTGGCATCAAAGATTGACAAGGATGACAGAAGTCGATTCCGAGATGAAGACTTGCCATGACGTCTATGGCATCCCTGCCCCTCTTTTCACCGCACGAGCTCGTGCCGCTTCCGCCTCACCAGGTGCATTCAACATGCCGAGCAGTCCCTGCAGCTGGCGACGAAGCGCGCGCGCGCGATCGAGATGTTAAGGCCCACCGCGTGCCTTGGACGACCGCGTGCCCTGCGCGACCGACGCGCAGAGGGTCCGGGTGGGCTTCATCGCGGCTCGGCCCGGTGATGTCCCGCAAGATGACGGGGGGGGATTCTCAAGATTTCTCAACCAAGCGCGCCGGATGAGTTGCTGATCTCATTGCTGATCTCTGCTTCAGCAATGCGTCCCTAGAGAGTTCCAGGGTTCATATGATGCCCTTTTCCATCCAATCCATTCTACCAGCCAGGCGTCACATGTCGGGGTGTTTTTTTGCCCACTCATGTCTTCGTGGACGTCTTCGGGCCCTGTCGGCCCACCGGACACCTGGCCGTCGAAGGAGCCGTGTCGCCCTCGACCGACTGAGGGATGCGCCATCCTTTGCATCTGCAGAGGTGCGGCTGTGACAGCAAAACCAACGGTGCCGAAAAAAAGAGGAGAAGCTATAGGCTAAAACCCTAAAGCCCAGCCTGCTTTCAACGGTTGTTACCGACCTGTGAGGTCGTTCAGTGCTTCATCTTCCACTGTGGAAGACTCCGACCGTCCTTCGCTCTCCCGGCAGGTGGGGCAGCGCATGCAATTGGCCTCGCTCCGCGCCTCCCTGGCACAGTTGGAGCTCAGGTGGCGCGGGGGACGTGGGGAGATGTGGGGGGGGGGACACGCTTTGTTTGGAGGAGTGGGGGCGGGAGATGGTTGTTGGCGCGGAGGGGTGCGGATTTAGAACAAACATCTAGTTCGTAAGTCATATTATGGTGGTCTGCGGGTGGTCATGTTTGGGCCAAACACCCTCGAAGTAGTGTCTTTTGATGGTCCTTCTCACCTTAGAGTAGATGGCCCAGTGACACGGGTGGCGCATTCTTCAAGGAGAGAGCGATGATGACATACTCCAGTTGGATTTATCGAGTTGGTGCGGCCAAGCACCAATCCCAGCACGCAAGAATTCACCACGCTCTTGTCTCGTTTCTTTCCACAAGGGATTTTGATCTCAACCAAACCTCTAGCTGCATGTGAAGGAAAGCCTGCCTGATCCTGTAGGATTGCACCCCCACCTCCCCTTCCACTGCATCCCGGTGCTTTCATCCCAGTGGATCTTCCACATGGCGGTCCGCAGGTTTGAACGTGTCATGCGCCTTGGCGAAAGAACACGCAAAGCCCGCTAAGGCCGCGGACTGGGGAGTGAGCGGGGGACTCTTTGGAGAGCCCGTGCTCCAGCTCGTGAGTCCCAGGTGCTTTGCTAGAGCCTCTACCATGCGAATACCAGTTGCAGTGTAAGGGCCATTTTGGGCTATTTTGGGGGCCCGGATGGTGCTTTCGGAGAGGTATGGTTTGTTGGACATCAACCATCTCCAGTGTCCAAGTCTGAATGTTGGCCAACACTCAGCTTCTCCGATTTTTCTCCTGAAATCTTGAGAATCCTCCTTCATTTCCCGGATCTAACATGAAACCCAGCATATCCATTTAAGACTTTCTCAGCGCACTCACCGGTGAGAATGACGTTCTCGTCTTTCCACCAAACCTCGGCTTACCAGCAGTTTTTTTTTAAAAAGGGGTGCCTCTGAACGACATCCCTATATTCACATCTAAATCATCTAAACACCAAAAACCGACATGGAACTGCTCCAGCCCCACGGAAGGGGTAGTTCTTGGATGGAACATACATCATTTTCTCAGAGGGTGTCCCTCCAACCACTCGAACTCCATGGTCCTGGCCTTTCTCAGGTCCCTCCAACCCGGCGCGAGTCCGAGTCCCGCCGGGCGTCCGGACGCCGCGCTCGGAGTGCGTTCGGAGCTGCCGGGGGGCCCGGTGGAACTCTGTGGTTGGGATTGGGTGGGGGGGGGAGGAGATGGTTTCGGAAGAGAAGGAAGTGTGGAGATGGAGATGTCTGTTTTGTGTGTGTGTGTGTGTTTGTACATGTTTTTTTTTCGGCTCCGGTGAGGAGTTCCGGAAGTTTGCAAAAGGGGAGAATCTGCCAAGAATGAACGATGTTTGACCCTAGTGGCCTATTCCGAAGGTAGCAGTTGTTCCTTTTTCAGTCCAGTTGATGCGGTTGGTAAATGCAATGGACCTAGAAGATCCTAGAAGCAAGCGGTTGATTATTGTTAGCACGTTCTTGCCAAGGCGAAGGACATAGCCCAGGGCTCCCCTCCACCAATTATACGGCTAGTGTGGTTCATTGTGCTTCGGTTCAGCGCCTTGAACGGCTTAAAGGCGAAAAGTGTTGAATTCACCAGCACACAGGGCTGGGGCGGCTGATGTCTTTTCTATCCAATGGGTGCTGCAAGCAGAAGTTTCTTCCGAAAACGGTCCAACCTCGGGGAGTCACGAGGTCCGGAGCGACGAGCCCCGTGAGCCCCGTGAATAACGTGGCTTCCACCACGAACGAGAGGGCGCCACCGCGCGCGCAGTGTGCTGCTTCTTCACGAAGTGAAGAGGATGGAGCTGGGTAGATGGGTGCATGGATGGGTGTGTGGTGGTTGTAAGGTTGCAATTCTTCACGAGCCATGTGAGGTTTTATCAGTGTTTTTTGTTCACAGCACTCAACATGACCAAATCCAGAACTGCTGAGTGTCAAAAGCGCGTCCGTCAGTGTTGGGAAGATCCTCCCTGATGCGAGGACTTCCGGCGATTGGAGGCCCAGCTGACAAAGCGAAGCCAAGTGATGTGCCGAGCGAATTGTCATGACTTGTCATTGTCACTGACGTCTTGTCTTTTAAAAGATCTCAAAAGAAAACACACAATGAACAAAATATAAATCTTGACATCTATCTTACTATCTCCTCGTCCTCACGCAGCAGGACGAGCTGCAAAAAGCCAAAATTGAGATCGAAGAATTGCGCAGCTCGGCGACCGAACGAGACGACGGTCTTCAAACGGCGGTCCAAGTTCGCTGAAGAACCCGACTGTTCGACTAGCCCAGTTGGGTAATTCAGGTTTTCCGAGGTTTTCCGGGTCCTATCCTGAACCTCTCGCTCCGGACCCGGCCGTTCGGTGTTCCACCAGCGCTGTTTTCTGTTCCAAGCCGTGCACCGTTCCGTGGCGCACCGTGCACCGTCCTGCAGCGCTGTGAGGTGGAAAGAACTGCGACTTAGAACGAGAGAATGAACGATTGGACCGCACCCGTCGACTGGACGCCGGTCTTTCTCTGACGGATGTGGCGAACTGCTGGGTGGGTTTCACTCACTCCCAAGCGTGGCGGGGCCGGGCACGTGGCGGGCGCCGTGGGCGCAGGAGAAGCAAGTCATTGAAAGCAAATCCAGTGCCGTGGCGCAAATCCACTGCATGGTGGAGATGATGGAAGGCACCAAATGGAAACTGGAACCGTCAAGTTCCTTTAGGAGACCGGTGAAACTGGACACCGAGGTGCTGCGTGGGGGGGGGATTGCCGGATCCGTCTTGGAAATCCTACTGGTTACAGTACTGGTGTGGTGCATCTGACCTGAGTCTAGGCATTTCCTTTCTACTTCCTTCGCAGGCATAGTTCGAGATAGTTCACCATCTTTCGGGTCCTCGCACACATGCTCATACTCAAACTTCTCCCAATTGATCCGTCCGTTGCTGGTGCCCATTCCCCCTAATTAGTCGAACTGGACTTCTAGGGTCAAACATATCAACCTATAGGATCTTCCAACTGAGACAAATGTTTGCCTTTTCATCCAAACAAGGCAGCCAAAAGGCAGAAACTTGGCATAGTTAGAAGATCCAGGAAGATATCAGGACAAAGAACTGCCGAAGTAAGAACAAGTGGGTTGAAGCACCTGAAGCACCTGGGCCCTTTCCTGGAAACCCCAACAAGCAGAAGTAAGTGGATGTTCCCCCCAATCCTAGGCACTTCTGTAAAGGATCCCCAAACAGCCGTATTGTGTTCCAACCCTTGGTTTCGGGCCTCGACTGGATGTCCAGGTTCATGCCTTTGTTTCCTTCGTCTTGGACGCGTGGCGCCTCAGGTCTTAAGGAACTCAAGGACGCCAAGGCCCCGAAGGCGCTTGGGATGGCCAAATGGTACGTCTTGGGCCGTCCTACCTAGTGAACAGAAGCATGTTGAAAAAAGGAAGGGTTTCCTTTTCTTTATGCACTTCGAAGAAAAAAAGGTGTTTTCGCAGGTGGACAGGTTGGGTCCTTCTCCTCCTTTCTGCAGCACAACTCGCGGCCAGGTGGAGGACATGACTGAGAAGTTTCGTCAAGAGAAGGAGGGCGTTGTGTTTCTCCGCCGGATCGTTCGATCTGAACCTTTAGCAAGCTTTACTTCGGTCTGCGCGCTGCTAGAAACGGCAGACGCACAGGTGGGAACATCGCGAGCTTTCTCCAATTTCTACAAAGTGGTACTGTACAAGTTGCAACATACTAGGACCCACAAGGGGTGGTTAATGGACACCCGTTAACCTCTAAGGGGCTATCAATAGACACCCCTTAGGGTGTCCTCGTATAGGTTCCTGGAAGGAATGATCAGATGACCCATCTCCCCGCCCCAAAAAGTACCATGACGTCATGACCTCGTGTGCCCTACCGCTTCTGGCGGCCGCGCACCGCTTGCGGCGGCCCTGGTCCAGGCGCAATTCCAAAAAGAACTAGAAGAACAGAAGACCATCGTAAGGTCACTGGAGGCGCGGGTTCACTTGGAATCCTTTAGGCCCTACACGGTGCCGTGGAATCAAGAGGGGTGGCCTGGGTCGCCGAAATTTCGCGAAGGTTGCTGGAACGAAACGGCGCACTCATCCGTTTCGGTTCGCGTGGTCTTTTGCCATGAGGCAAAAAACAACTCATCCTTTTCTATTGGTTTTAGGATGCCAAATGAAGAAATCGCACCTGCTAGGCGCAGCTGCAAGCTGCCAACGAATCAAGAGAAGGCCGACTCACCTCGCCGGAGGCGCTTTTGGCTGGCGCTTTTGGCTGTTCAGTTTGGTCCAAACCATTGGTCCAATGTTCAGCTTCGTGCCTTGAAAAGACACCGCTCAAAAGAAGCGAACACCCAGCAGTCACCTGGTTTTCAGCGGGTTTCAGCGGGTTTCAGAGTTGAGTTCCTTGTTTTGCTTCGTTCGAATCCACCTGGCTCCGCTGGGATCCGTGGGAATCAGTGGGATCGAAGGCCGAGGAAGCTGAAGCCAAGACATGTTGCTGGGTCGAGTTCGCCCGCCGAACGCCCGCGAAAGAGTGCGGCGCGAAGCGGTGTGTTCTTTTCGGCATCCAGCCCTAGGCTAAAACCGAACCAACTAACTAACGCACTAAGGATTTTGCACTACAAAAACAGGTCAACCATTGTTTCAATGGTCTTGGAAGTCTAGGGTGTTTCATTGTTTTGTTTCCAAGAAAAGGAATGGAGTGGACACCCTCAAGCCAGGATGAACAAACCCCCACAGAAGCGATATGCCAGAAGACCCTGACACATCAAACATGTAGCAGTTTGAGGGTCCATGAGCGCGTGGGTTACGTAGACCTTGGCAGGCACAGTTTCATCAGCGCTGCGGTTTGCATCTTTATATCCCCAAGTGTGATCTTGCTTCTGACAGGCCAGTCATCAAGGATTTCCTTTGTGTCACGAGCAACGCCTGCTTGTTCGAAACACCTGATTCGTCCTTTTCCCGAGGCCGAGACATCTTCGATGCCGCAGAGAAGGGTGCCCTGGATGCGCTACGCTACTTCCTACGGGCGGCGCCGCAGCGCGTGGCCCAGACAAATGGCCAAGGCACGGCAGTTCGCTGAGGAGTGCAACATGTCACCTGCATCATGGCGGACCTGTGGCGGTATTTTGGGGCGCTTAGTCGGTAGATGGGCCTTCTCCTGGAGAATCGTCGGGTTGAAGCTCCAAGGATTCAAAGCACCTTAAGAATCCGGGCCCAAACCAAGGGATTTGGGGTTTTGGAGGGCCCAAGCATTCGGACCAAGGGGCGCCCCCTTGGGATTTCTAGAGATTCTGGAGGCCCACCACCTACCACTTCCCACACCACCACCTACCACTGCCGCGCTCCGATCCGATCCCGCCGGGACGACCTCCACACCGTGAGAGGCCAAACGCCGCTAATGCGGGCCGTGGAGAAGGGCCAGCTGTCGGCCGCCAAAGATTTGGTGTTGATCTTCGGGGCCGAGGTGAACTCCAAGGATTCTTTTGGCACCTCGGGTTCAGGTTCCGGCGGGTTCCGGCGGGTGAGACGGACCCGTGAGACTGGTGTGAACGAGTGAACACTTCACCACGGGTGAGACGGGGTGGATGTGAGTCAACCTGGAGACTCAGAGAGTGGTGTTTTGGGTCTATGTCGGTTCGAACTCGGTGCCTCCCCTCGGTGGGGAGGCACCGGTTTTGACCGTGCACAGTGTGGGTCTATCCCACTGGCGAGGGGTGAGCACGCTGATCGGAGCGGGGTTTTGAGAAGAGGGGAACGTCTTGTTGTCTCATTGATGGACTCTCAGACAGCGTCTTTTGGTGTTGTCTTTTTGCACCGAAGCTTGGGGGTCTGAAAGCCAAAGACTCCGGAGCTGGCGATGTTGCCATGGTCTATAAGTCTGATGGGCGGATGCATGCACAGCTGTCGGGACTTTTTCTTGGGCTTATTTTGCTGGTGTTTGAGTCAGACACGTGATTTGTCTTGGTTGCTGGCGGCAGGGGGGTGGCATCCAGGGTGGCGTCCGCGCATTTTTCGGTGCAAACCCCGAGGCGAGACCAGCTTGCACCTGTTGGCGCGACACTTTGTGAGTGGCCTCGGCCGCAGCGCTTCGATCTTCCACGTGTTGTCCGCCGCCCAGATTCGGATGGATGCCGTGAACAACTTTCGCCGGGGGGCCCGAGGACGGGATGCTCCTCGGGGCGTGGAGGAGGACCCAGTGAGTTGCGGAGTGAGTGCAGTTTCGGGACGAAGCGAGGACGCCAAGCGCGCCAAGGCGCATGAGGCTCATGAGGTCAGGTGTTTGGCTCGACCGGGGTGTCTATCGACCCGAGACCGCTGTGGAACCCCAGCTGGGCTGAACCGCTTGGCGGCTCGGCAGGTCGAACGGCGCTGCATTTGGCCGCGCAGTTCGGGCAGGGTGACATGGCTCAGCTGCTGTTGGATGCGAAAGCCCCTTTGGAGGTCCAGGATGACCGAGGCGTCAGCCGGTCGACGTTGGACGCTTCGGTGCGGGTGGACTTCGGAGTGATGGTTGGATGGTTCGACTTGCATGGTTTACTCCTTTGACTCCAACACAACCGTTGCTGTGTACACCTTACTCTTGGAAACTATTCTGACCTCTGACCTGCTTCTTTTTTCCAGGTTCTCCAACCAAAACCAAGGTTATGTCCCACACACAGGGCGCAAGTCTACCGGGTTCTTCGCCGGCGCAGACGGCGCAGACCGACCGCGCAGGGGCACGCGCCGAACGCTCTCCGCGCAACGCTCCGCAGGCCGAAGGCCTTTGCATCTGGCGGTGCAGTTTGGACATTCCAACATGGTCCAGCAGCTGCTGAAGGCGAAAGCTGACGTTCAAGCGAAGGACGACACAGGCGAAAGCTGGGTGCGGTGCGCGCGAACGAATGCGAGCCAGATGGCGAGAAGCAGTTGGCGCACGAACATCGATCGAAGATCCAAAGGATTTGACCAGGCACCCCCAAGATCTGGTGGTCTGTTTTCCAACATGAAGTTCATCAAAGGTACAAACTTTGCTCTTGCATGTTAGGTCCGGTGGACCGTTGAATGGTCGAGAAAAGAATGCAACGTCCGACCGAGCCCCGTCCGACCTGCGCCAACCGCCCGGACCAGGTGCCGACGCGCGGACCCTCGCGGCCGCGCGGGCGGACGCCACGGGCGCCGAGCTCCGGCGGCTGCTGGCGCGGGCGGCTTCGGGGCCGACGGGAGGGGCGACAGGGGGCCAAGGGCCAATCATCTTGTTTCTTTTTTGACATGGGGAGACTCACATGGGGGCATGGTGTTCTGGTTTCCGGGGGGGTTCGACCAACTGTTCGCGCACCCAGACCAAAAGCCTCTAGCCCGTTGATATCGATCGTTGACCATGGGCTGGCCTCCTAAGGGGTGGGTGGTTAGTGGATACCCCGAATCACCTCTAAGGAGCTATAATGAGACACCCCGAAACGGGGGCCCGTGGGTATAGATTTATAGTCAAATGGAGCATCAAATCAGCCTAGGAAATCCCTGGGCGTCGGACCCGACATCTTCGGGGTCCGGAACCCAAACCCGATAGCCCATGGCCGAACCGGGCCCGGATTCTGCTGGTTAAAGGAGAGAGGGACAAACACCTGTGGCTCCGCCCGTTCTCGGCGATCCAGCCATGCCGAAGGCCGAAGCTGCAGCGAAAGCATGTCGAGTTCTCAGAGGTCAGAGGTTTAAGACATCCAATTGATCGATGTATTTGGTATACTTTTTTTTTCAGATTTCGGTTTGAAGACCTCCAACACTTCACAATTCAGCATGTTCTTGCACTTGGAGTTGGCGAAGAAAAGACCTGCCTGCCTTGTTCTTCGGGGGTCTTCTCCGGGGCCGCGGAACCGACGGGGACGGATGCTTCTTTTCTGTCATCCGCTACCCCCGAGCTGCTCCACGTGGTGCTTCTAGGCCCGATCCTCACAGTATCTCACGGTATGAATTGGGCTAGATGACAAGCCTTAAGAATCCGGGCCCTCAAACAGATAGGGTTTGGTTCGGCCCCGGACCCCGAAGAGGTCGGGTCCGACCCCTGCCATGGACAGCCCGGACTCGGATTCTTAGGGAAATCTGGTGTATGCTCCACTTGGCGTGTGGATCCGTGCGACTCCCTCGATCGGACCGCTCGACCGCTGCGGGGCAGCTCCGTCCTTATTTGACGTCCGCTGCGGGGTGCGGTGCAAAAAGGATGGTCGCTTCAAGTGCAAACTGGAAGTTTGGTGGCGGATGAACGATTTCTTGGGACGGATGAGGGATGATGTCTTCCATGAAGACATGGTAAAACTCGAGGGGTGGTGTTCCCACGTCCTACTATTTTATGTAGGAAACAAAAGGGGGGGGGGTAAGGTACACAGCTGTTGGTGTGCTGTGCATGTTGGGCCTATTTTGGCTATATTATTCACTTCCATGAATTCATGGAGACTGAAATCAGATCCATCAGGTCAGGTCCCCTTTGTTCTCCGGACTCGTGGTCCTCGCGGCCGGACATCGGATGTTCGGACCTCGGATGTTCGGTTCGGTTCACCAAGTCGTGCGACGTCGCTGGATTTTTCTGGGTTGGGGGCAAGAGGAGATGCGTTCTTGGAAATTCTTTTTACATTTCCATGTATTTGGTAGGATGCGATGGGAACTGACTTTGCATTCCATGGAGCAGGGCACTTTGCATCCCTGAAAGCTTGATACGAGGATGGGAGTGCTCATCTCGATGGCCGAGACGAGCTAATGAAGGGGCCGGACGTGTGTTGCAGATTTGTTTCAATGAGTGCTGGCGAAGGGGCCAAATGACTTTGAATGCTTGGGACATCGATTTCTGCAATGTCGGGTCGTCTCAACCTCGCTGCGAAGCGAAACGAACCGAATGTGATCACATCGCCCCGTGCGACGGAGCTCATGCGACCACTGTCCCGGTGCAGGGTGCCCGGCAAAGCCGCTGTTTCACTCGGCAAAGCCGATGCGGGCCGAGGATGACCTCTCCCCCATCGGTGGAGTCGGGAGACCGGAAAACGAAGGAACGGAGGGTCTACCGGTAGCCAGGACTAGCTGGCTGCCTTGTAGAACGGTTTTCTGGCCGCCACCCGTGGAATCTGATTCAAACAGGGTGGAATATCGATCCGACTGGGCCATGAGCAGTGGCAGGTAGGGGAAGGTTGGCTTTTGGAGCAAAAAGGCTTTTGAAGTCCTGTGTTTGGTCTTCTAAACGGTAGGTGCTGGACACAGCTCTGACTACCAAGCAATGGAAACATGGTTTGGTCTTTGATTTCAGGCGGACGCCACATGTGCTCTTTTTGGCTGACCCTGGGTCGACTGAAGAATTGCTTCACAATCCTTTCCAACCATCGGAGTCGGAATCATCCTTGGCCTGCGTGTAGCGGCTCAGACACAAATGCGTTACTGCGAATGCGGACGCCGCCTGCGACGTCTTCTTTTGCGTTGCGTGATCCAGCAGTGTGCAATGCACATTGGGGACGATGCAGGTGTTGGAAAGAAAGAGAGCTTCTCTGATGGGAGATTCCAGAAACTTTTTGAGAAAAAGTAACGAAGAGCTTACAGGTCTTTTCCACATGTTTTTCACACGTTTCCGCGCCAGTTTCGATAGATCTTCGTGCGTTCTGTGCGTTCCGTGCCGCAGACATCGTCTAGGTCATTGCCGAAGACATGGCGTCGCGCCAGGGTCTCTGAGGGTGGACGAGGAACTTGCTTCGCGCAGAGAACTTGGAGACTAAGAACTTGGTCCATATACCATCATACAATGAATCATATACCATGCTACTACTAGTAACAAGGGCATTACTACTAGTACAAGAAGCTACTGGTAGCTAAGGGCATTACTATGCACCATCATAAATGCTGCAAACATTTCTGCCTTTTTCAGCAGCCAAGTTTGGCAGACATTTTGTGTATAGTTGGAAGATCTAGGTTTGCTTGGAGATCCGTTTTTTGTCAAAGCTTTGGTCTTCGGAAGAAGGAATCGGAGCATGGTCTTCGGATGTGGAAGGATTGTGTCTACAAGATCATTGGTTGGGCTGATTAGATCCTTCTTTTTCGGGGGTCCTGTTCAGTTCCACCGCAGACCCTCAGAGCATTGCCACAGAGTTCTTTTTTACACGGTTTCTAGTGCCAATAATAGAGTTGCAGTGTTTCATGTCCTTTTTTGAAGATCTGTGAGTTGGTCGTGGATTTGCCAAAGTTTGCTGCAGGTGCCCTGTTCTCCCTTCTTTTGGCTGCCTGCTGCACTTTCTCTGCAGCTTTTGTGGCGCCAAGCCGTCCCGGCCTCAGCCACAGTGACCGGGAAATAACTATATATAGAATGGTGGAGCTCGAACTCCAATGAAGCTGATTTGCAGGGATGATGGTTTGGTTGTTCCATAGAATCATTATCCGATGTCCAATAGGCCACACTGAAGTAAAAAAACAGGACACTTGCCCGCATTTCGGCCAAAAGGGATCGAACGATGATTTATGGTGAGCATGAAGGTCAGGAGGTAGAAGGTTTGTTCTTGAGTTTTACTTAAAGAGCACATTTGGATGGGCAGAGGTTGAAAATTGTTTTCATTGTGTAGCAGTTGAGGTTTTGATGGTGGAAGCCGGCCCCAAATTATCCTAAATTATAATTATACAAAGAAGCTGCAGCTATTTCAACCTCCAACTGGGCCTAGCTTCGCATTGAGCGGATCGCAGCTGAGGAGCACTTGACGTCGCTGGTAATGGGGGAGATATTTCTGATGTTTGGGCCACATCTTCCGCGATCCTTCCGTTCTACTGCCCACGCGAGCGCACGGCGAGCACGCGTGGGCGCAGTGCCTGGGGTTGCCTGGGCAGTTCCCCAGATCTGCGATCTCAAGAACCCAAACTCAGTAACGGGTCAGATCTTCGCCTGGCGCCTGTCCCGAGGCTCCAATGCCTTGCCCTCGGTGGAACTCCAGACCCCACAGATGAGGAGCATCGAGGCAGAGGCGAATTCATCGGCGGGACCGGGTACAGAGAGAGAGAGAGAGAGAGTGTGCCATGTGCGAACTGGGCTATGCAGGGAGAGCGTCACTACGCAGAACTGGTCCATCAAAGGTCGCTGAAATCCTGTCAATCTGCAACCTGGCAGACCAGCTCTCCGAATGAAACCAGTCAGATTTTTCTCCAGTTTCTGCGTGTTTCCTTCTCTCCGGGTTCTTCTCTTAGCACCTTGTTCCACCCCGACACCTCACCGTCTCGAACACCACGCAGGTGGAGATGAGCACCTCGGTCTTCTCGGCAGAATTGGATGGACCGGGTCAGACAGGACTCCAGGTCTCTCGCGCGTCGGCTTGCGCTGGAAGTGCCGGTGCTTCGCCTGCCGGTTTGGTTGGTGGGCACGGTATGGCAAGAAGTGGCAAAAATGAAGTGGTGGGTTTGGTGGCGGGGCTCAGAAAGTAGTGCCTGGTGAAAGTCCTGGTTTCCAGGGCCTGAGTCTTTGCGTGGTAACCTGGTGGCACATTCAAAGAAGAACAGCAACATGGTTGAAGGAAGATACTGAATAATCACTGAATATACACATCCATGAGTTATACACCTTCTGTCATGATGCATACTTGCTACAACAACCATTCTCTGGTCTGTAGCTGCTCTGTGGATTGAACCCTTAAGTGAAGCTGCTCACCCTGTGCTGTGCCTTCCCGGACCGGGTCCACGAGCGGGTCGACCGTCGGGCGCCGTGCCGACGGGCCGGTCCACGACTACGGTGTGTTTGGCCGAGGGTTTGGGTGAACCCAATCCCACTAAGACTCACACCGAGACGGCGGAATGAGAGCCTTGCCGACCTAACACCTGAACCACCTGAAAACCCAACCGCCGACGCATCAGCTGCGCGTCGCGCTGTGCATGTCCGAACGCTGAACTGCACCGTGCCAGTCGTGCCTCTTGGCCGGCCTCAGCCTGGGCTACGCCACAGCCGCCACCTTGGCAGGGCACCCAGCAGGACACGTCACGGTGATCCAGGTGGATTCCTTCCCCAGCATTCACTTTTGGAGGTCAATTTCGTGTTCCTTGGCCTGGCGAACCGTGCTCAGGCCTTCAAGCGAAACGCGCGCACCGCCTGCGCCGCAGAGCCAGGGCGCTGAGCTTCAACGGGGTGCACCAGGGTGCACCCCATCCAAGTCTGAGCTACTCTCAACGAAACGTGTTGGATTTCAGGTGAATCACTCGGTTTCGGCTGTTCACCTGAGTGTCCCCTCAAAGGTTCCGGTGGGGATCCGTGGCTTATCGCACATCATCATACGTGCTGTGTTTCCGTTGCGATGATTGGGATCGCACGTTCGCTGCCGTTCAAGACTGGCATCACTGAGGAAGGCAGCGGTGGCCAGGAGCAAGTGATGCTTGGGAAGTGTCTTGCGATGTGCCCAAATGAGATGTGTTGGCAGAGTCAGGGAAGAGGAGGATAAGTTTTTGATGGCTCATTCCGGCTTTGTACTCCACTTTTGATTCCACAGGTGTGCTCAAAGAAGGAAGGAAGAGGGCAAGACATGGCTTGAGGAGAGGCCTCGCCTACCTGGGCAGGACCCCTGTTGCCTACCCCATCTTCACCTTCCGATGGTTGGCCGTCCATGCCCTCGTGGCGGGGGGAGAGACGAGACGAGACGTTGTTCGACCGGTCGTTCGTGGTGTGGGAGCAAGGGTCTACTCAGTAGAACCTCCTGTTTCTATGCAAGGGTATGCGCTTGGTCTCCTGGTTTTCCGAAGGCGCCGAAAGTCCGAAAGCCAAGCCCTATGCCACCTCTAGCCGAAAGGAGTTCTCTTCTGCTTGTCCTTTGTGGCTTAGAACCTCTCTTTTCGGTCCGTATGGCTTGCTCCGCCCGGGAGCCGCTGCGCCGGTCTCCAGATCCCCACTGTCTTCTTCTTGGGCGCCATTAGCTCGATGCAGTTCATCCAGCGTTAGGTGCGTCCGGGACGGTGCGCTGGGACGGTCGGGACCGGGACGCTGGGGGTCCTTTTGAGCATCGGTCGTTGAACCAAAGGAAGGCTTTCCAATTCCCAGACATCATGTCATCCTTCATGTCATCCTTCATGCCTTCGGTCCTTCGCTCCAAGGACCGTGGAGCACCGTGGAGCTCTTCCGGGCGCGGTGGTTTTTGTTGGCGAAAAGAAAAAGACGCGCCGGGCGGTTCGACCGCTCGGGCGCGGCGGGAGCGACGCCCCTGCACGCGCCGCGATCGCCGATCGGCGGGCTCGCTGTGTCAGACGTGGGCGCCAGTCTTGGAGAATCTGAAGAAGAGACTTCCAACTTCGCTTCGATGCACTCTGACCTGGGGGGGAAGGACCGCTGCGTTGTTTGCACCGAGAGAATGTCCGCCTGCAGACATACTTTGGGGCTCTAGGGACTCTAGGTAGACTTGTGTTGTCACCTGCGAAAGCAAATGGCAAGACGTGAGCAGTGTTCGTGATTATCCCCCCCTGCTTTCACCTGTTCTTAGGCCAACAAACAAAGTTGGGGGGGGTGTGGAGACATATGGCGCAAAGAAATCCCAGTCGGAACAAATCTCAACAGGGAGGCTCTTGAGGAGTCTTCGTCTCATGGATGGACAGTTCCCAAGGCCATTGGCACTAGGCGATGTGCGGTCCCGCGCGCATGACTACGCGGTGACGGGACCGCGAAGTCTCGTGCAGAGACTGGTGGAAGCAAGTGCTTTTTTGGTAGCCTGGTAGACTCTTGATTTGTAAGAAGCCCTCAGATGAAGAGGTTTTCAATCCAAATGAAAAAACATTCATGAATCAAGAGTCTAAATAGTAGTTGAGCATCTCCCCCCCGCTTGGGCTTTGGGAAGATGTGGACCGTCAGGTGCCACAACCATCGTCATGAGAAGCACGCACCTCAAGTTGACGACTCAGGCGATCGATGGGAACGACGGCTCGAGCAGATCGGATCGGTTCGGGTCGGGTCGAGCGGATCGGGAGTTGGGTCCATTTTGGACAACGAGGGCAGCATGGGATGAGAACCTGAGGGGCGCGCGGCGCGCTTGTGGACAGAAAACAGTTCAAACACCTGCGCAAAACACGCGCGACACGTCTGTGGACGAGTCAACTGCAGAAACATTCAATTTGGTCCCCTAGATGTCCTTTGAACAAGTGACTGACTGACGGATCTGGAGCTCCAGAATTGTGCAGGAGATCATGACACTCCTGAACGTCCTGACAGTCACCCTTGGTCTCAGCCTCGATGGTTGATCCATATGTTCCATCAGACGAAGCCTTCCGGCGACGTTGAAAGGCTTGCTGGACGATTTGCTTAGGTTATAAAAGCCCAATGTACGACTTTGTCTCCATCTCAGACTCGCTCGGCTGCAAGGGTTGGGTGTACAAATTCTGCAGGACTTGCTGTGAAAAATGAGATGAGGTCTGGGAGACATGGCTGAAACAGGAAGGTTGAAGATCTCGCTGGCCGATGGCCTGTTCCGGGTGGGGTGTGGGCATGTCACAATGATAGGGAGAATTCTCCCGCCCAAAACGAGCTAAATCAGTCCTCTTCCAATACACGATCGGCCCTGGGCCTCAAATTCGACCCAGGACAGGAGTTTGTCGCGAGTCAACCCTGAACCGCTTCGTCATTGCTTCGCCCGAGGTCTACATGCCATGGGCGAAGCTAGCCATTGTGAACTTCGTGGACCATCGATCATGTAAGGTGGGGGTGCCGGCTGCGGCCGCGAGCAGCGTAAGCGAGCTGCGCAGCTTGCCGCTGCTCTGCCCACTTCGATCAGAACCAGAAGTGGTGACAGAGACATTCCCCCCGGAGTCGGGATGGGGACCATAGAAAGCGTGAACAGGACAATTCCGTCGCGGGATATCCAGTTCCTGTTCTCATTTCCGGTTTAGAAGGATAGGTGACTCCACGTCCCGTGCACCGAGTTTCCACATCGAGTTCCTCACGCATCCTCACGCCATCGGCGTTCACTGGTCCAAGTTGAATCCTGCACCTGCAATTTGCTTTTGGTGCCAATTCCCTCATCGTTCTTTTTGGTCATTTCTGGCCGTTTCTGGGTTTTGAAGATGCCTACATCATCCTCATCTCATGTCTCATTCTTCGAGTCTGAGAGGCACAGCGATGGTTTGGGCGGAACAAAGGAAGCCCGGGTGGAGATTGGAGGGACAATTCTCGAAAAAGGATGGACAAAAAGCGGATATGTCAGCCTAGAAACCCAAAGAATCAGAAAACAGTGGACGTTTTCCCAGTCCCAGCCACTTCCTGTATATGCTAAAGATTGTAAAGGATGTTTCCAAAGAGCTGCATTGGAACCACCGGAACTGTTTCCTGGTTGGGACTTCCTGCGTTTTCCAGGAGCGGGAAAAGAGAAGCACCGATCTCTGCTGCTCACCTGACATGGCAGGCATTCTATGAGAAGATTCAGGAGGTGATCGATCTGGGTGCCGCTCTCACGGAGAGGGCTCGCGTCTCTTCTCGATCCTTAGAGAGGGCTCTCAGCAGAGATCGGAGGTTTTGGGTGATCTAATGCTGATCTCCCAGACGGTCAGACGGTCAATCTCCACTCAAGCGAATGGATGGATGGGTGTCCACGGGTGAAACATGAAAAATCACGGATGTTCTTCCGATGGTATTCAGGTCCGCCTTCTTTTGGGTTCGGCCTTGATCTGCCGCGGCCCGGAATATCGCCAGGTGCCGAGCACCCGGCGATCCGGAATATCGCCCAGTCTTACATCCAGGGTTTGCCGCAGAACCTGGCTTTCTTCTTGGCCAAATCGGGCCAGCAGGCAGGGAATTGGGAAATGGACTTTGGGAGGAACAGATGGTCCAAATCCGGTGGTTAAAGGAAGTGTGACAGTGTTTGTTGATCTTTCGGGAAAAAGGTGGGACAAAGACAAAATCGGATGAGTTCTGAGTGATTTGGCCAAGGAGCGAAGGTAGTTTTGGCCGACTGGCCAACTCGAATTAGAATGGACCTGTGGTTTTAGAACTTTGACTCTTATAATGTAGACTGTGGATCACTAGAACCCCCATATACATGAAGAGAGATGAAGAGTCTTTTCCATCTCCAGATGGGGGATTTGATGAATCAACAGTCTACATGAATGAACAGAACACAAAAGAAACACCCTCCAGCCTTCGCAGCCAGCATTCTTGTGAAGGCGATCTACCAAGCGCACGCTCCAATGGTTTTTGAGAATGGCCACTTGGCAAGTTGGTGAACGGATGGGATGCGTAGTTGTTCCAGTAAAGCTGAGAGTCCGCAACCTGACTCTCAAGGGCATGATAGCAGGTGTTAGGTGGGCGCTCGAGACTGCAACCGCCTTTTCAGACCTCTCTTCAAAGGTCGCTTGTCCCATCCACTGTTCAGGCTCCTGTCTTCCTTGGCTGCTGACCGGCATTTCCCTTGGATTTGTTTTGGCTCTCCTCCTTGGATTTCTTGCGCTTTCCTACCTCCATCCAGTGCTTCGTCGTGGGTTTTTCCCGCCTGTGGTGGAATCTGGAGTGTCGGAGGTGGATCGCCCTCGGCATCTTCTTGTTGACAGGAGGGCTAGGCTTGCGGCCTACAGGGACGGTGAATGAGCCAGCAGGTGACAAAAGCTGACATTGATTCTCTCATTTCAGCGTTGACCCGTCTGAGCGTGGCAATCGAGAGGGGTGCATCTTTGACTTCATCTTCATCTACGTCTTCGTCGGCTCCTTGCATCTCGATTGCTGGCTGGGAGATAGTTGAGCCTTCAGTTGAGCAGCCCTTTGCGGTAGAGCTTGATTCCAGGAGGGTGTTTGAAGACGGACCTCAGCCTATTCCGCCAGCCCTTCTAACAAGTGCAGCTCAGAAGCTCTCCAACGTGGCCGGTGACCCCAAGGAGAGAATTGTGAGGGCGTGGAAGGCTGGATTCTGGTGTTGGGCAGCGATTGCTACCCATTCTGAGTATTTGCAACGAGAAGCAATCTCAGTGTCCGATACCCAGTGGATCATCTTCTACCACTCCCGCATTTCCGGGGCAGTCCGAGTCCGAAAGATCACAGAGCTCCGTAGCCTCCTTGCTTCTCAGGTGCCAAACTCTGAGCCTGCGGTGTGGCAAGGTTTTGCTTCACTCACTGAGGTTCAAGTGTGTTGTGCCAGCTTCGGGACTGACGTTCCTCCGCTGTACCAATGCAGCGGTCCGAAGTGAAGTTTGCTGGGCTGCGAGAGGACTTCTCACTTTTGGTGGCTACCCTCTCTCCTCCAGTGGTTGAAGTGGTGACAGAGCTTTTTGTGCTACCTCTCCTACCTCGGGGTGGTGGTTTTCTTGCATGTATTCCCTATGGGGTATTAGATGAGTCTTGGCTGACGGATGGGGCTTCCTTAGAGATGGCACCTACCTGGCTGGGAGTGGGAACGCATTTTGACGTTCCTTTGGTGGAAGAGTCTGACGATGGCACACCGGTCCCCCTCGGGATGAATGGTCCAGTGGTCGTTGTGGATGTCAATGATGATTTTTTGAATTTTGCAAGGCTGTTCGACCCTGTCACAGACGCGGACAGTGAGATCGTGCCTTACCATCCAGACAACACTTCTTGCATTCCTCAAATTCACGCCCTGATTGAGAGTGTCAGGGCTTGGCTCATCGAGAGAACCGATCCTTTGGCTGGTTTTTACTCGGCTCAAGAAGACCCAGAAGTTCCTGCAGCCAAAGGAAAGTCAGTTGCAGCAAAGAAAGCAGGAGTGGCCCCGAAGAGGGTTACCAATGCAGTTTTGATGGAGCAACTCGCAATGTTGAACAATCAACTACAGCTACTGTCGGCAAGGCAGGATGCCCTGGAGCAGTCTCAACCTGTACAGGGGCAGCCTGCCGAAAATGTCTCCGGGTCCTCCTCTGGCAACAGAAACAAGCTTCCGGATCTGTCCGCAGGCCTTGGTTCCGTGGACGGCCCTCAGCCTGCTATGGCAAAGACTCTGCAGCTTCTGGGACCACCTCCACGAACGAAGTTGGGTCAGCCCTCTATGGCAAAGGTGGCTGGCATTCCTCCAGAGGAACCAAATGCTCTCTTGGGGGGAGATGGATTTCGTGCTGGCCAAGATTCAGGCAACATAGTCAATGCATTGTCTCAACAGAGCACTGCGCTTACAGCTTTGGGTGCACATCTAGCACAGCAAGGGGGGGGACCCTCTTACAGAGCTCCAATCAGGCTTCAGCAGCTCATCAAGTATGAGGGGAGTCCAGCGAAGGGAGAAGCTTCAGGCCGAGCTGGCCTCGAGGAGCGGAAACTTTTTCCTGCTTATGATGCAACAGATCCACAAGAGGATCTCTCCTGGAAGGGCTCTTCCCAAGTCAGAGGCCGAGTTGGGGCACCTGTCGATGGTCGAATATCTGGAGAAGGCAGGGGGCTACAAGCAGCAGAAGTCACTTGGTCTGATTCAATGGATCTTGGCACATGCTGTAGATGCGGCAGCTCAAGACGACTTTGCTGGAGTGAAGGAGATCATTGCTTTGTTGGCGATGTCAGTGGAGCAAGCAAACTACGACAACGGAGACTGGGCAGTTGCTTATTTGGTGAGCCTACACGAGGACCCACCGATTCAGCTGTTTCAGGAGAGATCAATGCAAGTCTCAACGACAAGCCGCCCTTTCAGTCCGTTGATTCCCCCTACATGGACAGCAACTACGCTGAGCTATATCAAAGACATCGAAGTCCTGGCCAACAAGAAGCCAGACTCAGGGAAGAAGGCGGCGGCTGCTCAAAAGGATCCAGGGGCAGATGGATCTCCTGTGGGTTCGCCAAAGAGGAAGCCCCGATACCCGAAGCGCCCAAAGGCGGGCGCAGAGGCAAACCAGTAGCTGTTTTGGAGGACTGCATGAGGTGCGGAGATGATAGCGCGTCACCTGCACCTGACAGAATTCACAATGGGGGGCCTAGTACCTTCATCACAGACGGCAATGAGGTTCCTGACACGGAGGGTGGTGACTTCAAACTACATTCCTCTGCACGGGTTCCAAAGGTTTTGACTTTTTGGCGGTGGTGCTCTTCCTTGGTGAAAATGATACTGAGGAGCAGAACTCCTTTTGCTGCATTTTTGGTTTCCACACTTCATCTGCATCGAAGCAATGTGACTTCGACATCGCCGCTCTTCCCTGTCCCCCTGCCTGAGGTGGGCATTTTTGACAGGATGCCGCTGGGGATGAGTCTACGTGCCAGACGAAGGGTTCATTTGAAACGGGTGATTCATATTGTCATCATGGCCCTCAACTATTGGCATGGAGGCATGAAAGCTTTTCCAAATCTTTCTCTCCTGGCGAGATGCCCTTCTCGTGCTCATGTGGCAATCTACAGACGATTGAAGAGCATTATAGCGGCCGACGGCCTTGGTTCTGGGTCCTTTGAGATGCTGGTCAGTGGCCGAAAGTTTCCCCAATTAGTTGCAAGGCTTGGTGAGCTGTCTGATCAGCTTACTATGTAGGGCGCTGCCGGACCCTATGGCCATATGTACCCTGGGTGTCCTGTGCCTATGAACAATGAGACGATTCCACAGCTTCAACCGTACAGGGACCTCAATGCGAGCAGGCTAAAGATTTCAGGCAGTGGATCTTTTGATGCAACTGACCACCTTGATGATGATTTGTGCATGGCCTACCGAGTGCCAGACCTGCTGCTTTCCGGGCTGCTTCCTTCTCCTGGACAATATCCTGTGGTGAGGGATCCGACTACTGAAGTTGAGGCTTTGGCAAGGGTCTGGGATCGGAATGGATTATGCTTCCTCAGTGACTGTGATGTCCCGGAGTACAGCCTTACAAAGGTTTTCAACAATCTCAAAGATCAGAGCTGTGACAGACAGATAGGAGACCGGCGTGGAAGAAACTATCAGGAGGGCCGACTTCAAGGGCCATCCCGCTGGCTTCCTGCTGGGTCCGACTTGTTGGACCTACACCTCAAGGTCCCTTCAGAGACTTTGAGGATAAGCTGCGCAGACAGAAAAGATTTCTATCACCAATTCTGGATATCAGAAGAGAAGGTGCGCAGCAACGCAGTGGGCCCATCCGTTGAGATTGATCATCTGAAAGGTCTGAAGTGCTATGATGAGTATTTCCTGAGGGCCTCATCCAAGATGCAAAAGCGGAAGCGTGAAAATGTTGGTGATCAGCTGCACGTCGGAGAAGGAGGTTTTTGGGAGACACGCCATTCCCCTCTTCTTGTCGGAGAAGTTTTTGTGTGCTTTAGAGCTCTCTTCCAAGGAGATCATGTAGGCGTTGAAGTAGCCACGTCAGCTCATGAGCACCTTCTTCAAGCTGGCGGTTTGTTGCAGGAGGATGAGCGCATTGTCTCTTGCCGACCTTTCTCTGGGAGTGCTCTATGTCAGGGCTTGGTGATTGATGATTATTTCGCAATTTCACGTGAGCCTCGGCGAAGGGCTTCAGAGAAGGCCCTTTCCTTTTCCTGCTTCCAGAAGAGCCAAGAGATCTACAAGAAGCATGGTATATTGGGGTCTCCTGACAAAGATGTTGTTTGCAAGGAGCACAGTAAAGTTATTGGAGCTGAAATAAATTCTGGCGACCATGCTGCCAAGAATGGGGTTGCAACCTTGGGGTCTCCGCTGTCGAAGAGGTTGTGTTTGTCATGGCTCACCCTCCAGTGTTCTAGTCTTTCACACACAACGGATGTTCTGCACCTCTGCTTGCTAGGAGGATGGACATCAATGCTGTTGTTCCAGAGGCCTTTGATGAGTATACTAGCAGAGTCGCACAGTCTGGTTGACGCCGGCAAAATCGATTCTGCACACCCTCGCCTGGTGCCATTGCCACGGCCAGTGGCAAATGAAATGGTGATGTTGGCGGTTTTGGCTCCCCTGATGGTGGCCGATTTGGGGGCTGTGTTTGATGACCAGGTCTACTCTACAGACGCCTCCGACTCAAAAGGAGCTATCACCTCGACCGTTGTCCCGGAGAACATTGCCATGAAGCTCTGGAGATCAGGCAGATCAAAAGGGGCTTACACCAGGCTGAAGACGGATTATGAGCTACTCATTGAAAGGCTCGGGATGCATGAAGATGTTGGGGTGCAGAACATTGTTGAGGAGGGGGGTGAAATGTGCCATGCAAGCCCAAATCGACCGCTGGCTTTTCGTTATGACTTCATTGAGGTTTATGCGGGCTCCTCGAGGGTTTCCCAAGCTATGGAGGCTTTGAACTTTGTTGTGGGCCCGCCCATTGACATTGCTTTCTGTGATGAACTTGACATGACACTTATCAGAGTTGTTTCATGGTTGAGCTTCCTTATTTCTTCAGGGAACCTGGGCAGCATCATGGTAGAGCCAGTCTGCACCACGTTTTCTCGAATCAGAAGGCCTCCCCTACGATCTAGAAGCTGCCCTTTGGGTTTCGATGGTGGGTGCGAAAAGACTCTCACTGGAAACACTCTTGCGCTTCGAGCACTGTATTTGTTGACGGTGGCACACTACTATTTTGTTCCTGGTTTGGCCGAACAGCCTTGGACCTCAATGATGCAATACCTCCCCTCCTGGGAGAACCTGGCAAAGAAGGAAGGGGCTGCTACGGTGCGAACAGACTCATGTGCTTTTGGGTCCCCGCATCAAAAGAGTTTTCGGTTCCTTTCAGTCTGGATGAGAACAGACAAGCTGCAGAAGAGGTGTGACAGAACTCACTCCCATATCACTGTAGAAGGAAGGTACACGAAGGCATCTGCCTCCTACACCTACAGCCTTGCGAGCGCTATTGCGGAGTGTTTTGCAGCTGCCATCAGAGCCAGGCAGGATTTCATCCGAAAGGAGGAGGAGGGTTGTGTGAAGGGGTTGGAGAACCAGCTCGTCAATGCCGTCGCAACCGACTGCCAGTGGAGAAAGGTTGATTCCTGGACTTTTCAGAACAAGCGGCGCATCAACATCCTTGAACTCAAGAGTGTTATCAGACTAGCAGAGCAGCTTGTGAGAAGGGGGAGATCATGCAGAGTTGTCAATTTTGTTGACTCCAACGTGGTCAGATGTTCAGCTTCAAAGGGAAGATCTTCCAGCAAGGCCCTGACCCCTTTCTTGAGGAAGTATGGGGCCCTTTGTCTGGCGGGCGGGCTATACTTCAGCCTACCCTATGTGCCGACTCGCTTGAACACGTTTGATGATCCTACCAGAGATCGTGAGGTTCGTGGTTCGTTCTCAGTGCACTCGATTGATGGCCTGTCAGCAAAAGATGTTGAGGCTATGTTGGCCGTTCCTGGACTACGGAGGTGGGCATCAAACTGGGTGAGGCTCATTTTTGGACTTCGTGGATTTCATGGACTTTCTTTTCACCTCCCTTCCAGGAGGTTCTATGGATTCCAGTGGTCTTGGCCCGTCTCTCGCACTCCTGATGGCCTTCTCAGGTCTTCGAACATGAAATTTGACTCAACTTGCGGCTTTCCTGGAGAAGGTCCCTACTCCTCTTGCCGTCTTCTCCTCTGGCTTGCCTGCTTCTCTCTGCCTTCTTCCGCTTCCTTGGTTGCAGTCTCATTTTTCCTCGGGGCGTGTTTCACTTCGAGCCATGGGATGATCGGGCCTCAGACACGAGGCGACTGGCACAGAAGAGCCCTTAGGCAGAACAGACCGCCACTACCTCAAGGTCGACCTGTGACTGCGGCAACAACGGGAAATCGAGAACGTCTGCTGAGGGAATTCTTTAACTGGTGTCAGCGGGCTGGGTTTGAAATTCAGGACTGGCTAAATCTCCCAACGAGGAATCTTGAGAAGATAAATGAAGCGCTGCAACTTTATGGAAGAAGGTTGTATGATGCTGGTCGGCCATATGGGGTGTTTGTTGAGTCCATCAATAGCATTGTTTCCTACAAACCTGTTTTGCGTAGGCAACTACAGCCTGCGTGGGACGTGGCATTTGCATGGGTTCGAGAAGAAAGACCAACTCACCACATTGCAATGCCGTGGCAAATCCTTCTCGCCATGATCTCCGTGTCGTTGGCATGGGGCTGGCATGAAGTAGCAGGCATCCTGTCGCTGTGTTGGGGAGCATTGTTGAGGACATCAGAAATGACGAGTGCAGTTCGTCGAGATCTTCTTCTCCCCTCCGATACACTGAGGTCGAACGACTTTTGCTTGTTGGGGCTGTCCGAGCCCAAAACACGTTTTGTTGCTGCGCGACATCAAACTGCGAAGCTTGATATTGGTGATTTGGTTAGAGTCTGTGAGCTCGCCTTCCGTGACAAAGCACCTTTTCAGAAGTTGTGGCCCTTTTCGGCTCACACTTTTAGGTTGCGCTTCAAAGATCTCCTCAGTGCGTTGCATCTGCAAACCGGAATCCGCCAAGGGGTGAAATCCTTGGATGTGGGGTCGCTCCGCCCAGGCGGAGCGACATGGCAGCTGCAAACCACTGAGGATCCAGATTTTGTACGACGCAGAGGGAGGTGGGTAAACTCCAAGGTTATGGAGATTTATATCCAAGAGATTGGATCGATACAATACTTGCTTCGTTTAAGTCAGCACCAACGACAACGTATTTTCGACTTGGCACGGTTGTTCCCTGCATTGTTGAAGGAGGTTGAGTTGTTGAAGATTGCAAAAATTCCAAGCATGGCTTGGTACCCGCTGCTTTCAAGAGACAAGCCCTAGGCTGATCGTGTGGGAAGAGTTGGGTTGAGAAGAGGCCTGTTGGCCTTTGTTTTCGTGGAGCCGCTCTCGCAGATGTGGAAAAAGATGGAAGGTTGATCAGCCGAAGCTTTGTTCCAGTAAAGCTGAGAGTCCGCAACCTGACTCTCAAGGGCACCCGCCCTGAGTCCCTCCCTGCTCTTGACAGCGGGTTGAGAAGAGGCCTGTTGGCCTTTGTTTTCGTGGAGCCGCTCTCGCAGATGTGGAAAAAGATGGAAGGTTGATCAGCCGAAGCTTTATATAACTATGGGTGAAATAAGGGGTTTTGAGAAAGAAAGCCGTTCGGAATGGAGGTTTGTCGTTCTGGGTTGGTCGTTCATGGAGAAAAATCACCAATGAGTTGCTCCAAAAGCACACCGACCACCGACCACCATGGGCGCAGCCCGCAAAACCGGTCTGCCCGGTGTCACCAGCCTCTTCGTGACAAGACCGGTGTCACAAGGCTAGTAGGAGCCAGTGACTGGGCAAAGGATGCAAGCTATTAGAAGCTATTAGAAGCTTGTAACTACCAACACCTTCCCAGTGACCGAGCTTGAGATCCCAGTGGCGGGTCGGTCACAAACAGGCCTTGATTTCAGGTCACCGTCTACCAATCCCTGAAGAGGTCACGAGTGGTGTCGGTCCAGGTGTCGGCGAGTGTTGTTCCTTGCTTTTTGGTTTGAACAAACGGACCCGTGTCCTCACATCGAGGCAAACGGTCAACGGTCAGGGTCCCAGAGAAAGACACCCGTGCTTGCTGAGCATGGGGTACATCGCCCCGTTGCGAAACCGGTCGGTGGGATGTTTTTCTGGTAGCCCCTGTCGCAATCCGTTCGCCCCTTTTGGGGTCCCGACCCAGCGAACTTCGCCCGAAGTGCGCGCGTTCGATCCGTCTCCTGAAGCCTTCGGTCCGTCCGTCTCCGTCCGTCTCCGTCTCTCAGGAGTTCGAATGGAATTGCTCGATGCGGTGAACAAGTGACCCAGAGAGAGCCGGAATCCGGCACTCGTCCCACCGGTCCTCGGACGAAACGGAGGAAGGCGACGGAAGGCCAGACGCAGATGGGCAGATGGGGGTGCTGAATCGATCGGGTGAAGAGAAGAAAGGTGTGAGTCTGACAAATTAGGTCATCTAAGCCTGCCACGATGGGGCAGGTGCTACATACGAAGATGGCAGACAAAGAATTTCAGATGGCTCGAAAACAGATCCAATGCGTCAGACAGATGAATGCGGCACTCAGAATACACTGACCGATGTTCCAGCTTCCAGGACCCTCCTGGCCAGGCTGTTTGGAGACCTGTTGTCACCAGGAAACACCTGTGAAGTCGGGTGCTGGTTGATTTCAAGACACCGGAGACCCGCTGTTTAAGCGGCAGACTCACCAACGAAGTGGAGGCGATTGGACGTGTGAATTGATTCCAAACCGAAACGGAGGATTCCCTGAATTCACACGTCCAATTGTACCCTATAGAGATCCCCAAAGGTTCCAGGTCTTTGACCGAACGTACGTACGTGGACGCGTTTTTTTCCCGAATGCGTAGCGAAGGGTTCTCGTTTAACTCTGGGGGTCTGGGGGTAGAGTCTTGTTCGCGATCCGTTGTTTCTATGTTCGCAACCGTCCGCAACCGTCCGCAACCGTCCGCAACCGTCCGCAACCGTCCGCAACCGTCCGCAACCGTTCGCAACCGTTCGCAACCGTTCGCAACCGTTCGCAACCGTTCGCAGTAGGACGCTAAGGCGCTGCCATTGGGGGAAGCTTTTGCAAGTGACTTTTCATGGATGTGTCACGTGTCAGTTTGCGACGCTATTCCATTGTGATTTGCATGAAAATGACATGTCGCGCAAGAAACGTGATGCATTTCGCTGCACAGGCGCAGTGGTTTGAGAGATCCGCAGTTTACTGCGCAGTTCCATTGGGACTAGCGTTTGGAGAGTCGTGTTTTTGGGGTGTTGGATGTGGCCGTGCCATTGGGATTTGCATTTCAGGGTGTGGCCTCGAAGCTCTGTTTTCGTGACAAGTCTCAGCTGAAATGGCGATTTTGGTGGATGGGAGTGTGCTCAGAACGGGTCGAAATCATTCTAAACGTGTGGTGTGGTGCAAATTTTGTTGAAGCTCATGTGAGATGATATTCTCACTTTTCGTGGCAGGCACAGTACTTTGTGCTGATTTTGAGGTGTGGAAGTGCGATTTTCGTGGCAGGCGCAGGAAATCGTGAGGTTGCGAGGTGTGACGGAGGTGTGACGGAGGTGACATTTCGTGGCAGGCGCAGTACTTTGTGCGCGTTAGACGTGTGGATGCGGAAAGATTCGTGACAGGCGCAGGGAATCGCGAGGTCGTGAGTTATGGTAGAGGTGAATGTCGCTGTCACATTGGGATTGGCGTGTGAGCGGGTGTCGTTTGGAGGGGCTGGAATCGCGAAATTGCTAGGCAGGGCTGCGTGATGTGTGTGCTCCGATGGGTGTTTCCGCTGGACTTTTGGAGGAAGTCTCGTACGAAACGCTCGTTTTGGAGACTTGACGCGTGACTTTTGGAGGAAGTCTCGTGCGAAACGCTCGTTTTTGAGACTTGACGCGTGACTTTTGGAGGAAGTCTCGTACGAAACGCTCGTCTTGCAGCCTCGCAGCGTGACTTTTGGAGGAAGTCTCGTACGAAACGCTCGTTTTGGAGACTCGACGTGTGACTTTTGGAGGAAGTCTCGTACGAAACGCTCGTCTTGCAGCCTCGAAGCGTGAGTTTTGGAGGAAGTCTCGTACGAAACGCTCGCGTGACTGCTTCTAGTGTGTGTGCAGACCGTGTCGCGACACGAGTGTCCCACAAGAGTGTCCCACAAGAGTGTTCCACAAGAGTGTCCCGCAACCGTGTCCCACAAGAGTGTCTCACAAGAGTGTCCCTTAAGAGTGTCCCACAAGAGTGTCCTATAAGAGTGCCCCACAAGAGTGTCCTACAAGAGTGTCCCACAAGAGTTTCCTACAAGAGTGTCACACAAGAGTGTCCCACAAGAGTGTCCCACAAGAGTGTCCTACAAGAGTGTCCTACAAGAGTGTCCCACAAGAGTGTCCTGTAAGAGTGACCCACAAGAGTGTCCTACAAGAGTGTGTCACAAGACTGTCCCACAAGAATGTCCGACAAGAGTGTCCCATAAGAGTGACCCACAAGAGTGCTTTTGAGAGTGTCCCACAAAAAGTGTCCTACAAGAGTGTCGTGTAAGAGTGACCCACAAGAGTGTCCTACAAGAGTGTCTCGCAAGAGAGTGTCCCATAAGAGTGACACACAAGAGTGCCCCACAAGAGTGTCCCACAAGAGTGTCCCACAAGAGTGCCCCGTAAGAGTGGCCCACAAGAGTGTCCTACAAGAGTGTCCCACAAGAGTGTCCTACAAGAGTGTCCCGCAAGAGTGTCCTACAAGAGAGTCCCAAAACAGTCCCCCCCAAGAGTTTCCTACAAGAGTGTCCTACAAGAGTGTCCCACAAGAGTGTCCCAGAAGAGTGTCCCGCAAGAGTGTCCTACAAGAGTGTCCCGAAACAGTGCCCCGCAAGAGTTTCCTACAAGAGTGACCCACAAGAGTGTCCTACAAGATTGTCCCACAAGAGTTTTCCACAACAGTGGCCTATATGAGTGTCCCACAAGAGTGTCCTACAAGAGTGTCCCACAAGAGTTTCCTACAAGAGTGACCCACAAGAGTGTCCTATAAGAGTGCCCCACAAGAGTGTCTTACAAGAGTGTCCCACAAGAGTTTCCTACAAGAGTGTCCTATAACAGTGTCCCACAAGAGTGTCCCACAAGAGTGTCTCACAAGAGTGTCCCACAAGAGTGTCCTACAAGAGTGTCTCAGAAGAGTGTCCTACGAGAGTGTCCCACAAGAGTGTCCTACAAGAGTGTCCCACAAGAGTGTTCCACAAGGTGTCCCACAAGAGTGTCCTACAAGAGTGTCCTACAAGAGTGTCCCAGGAGAGTGTCCCACAAGAGTGTCCTACAAGAGTGTCCCACAAGAGTTTCCTACAAGAGTGTCCTATAAGAGTGTCCCACAAGAGTGTCCCACAAGAGTGTCTCACAAGAGTGTCCCACAAGAGTGTCCCGCAAGAGTGTCTCACAAGAGTGTCCCACAAGAGTGTCCTACAAGAGTGTCCCGCAAGAGTGTCCTACAAGAGTGTCCCACAATAGTGTCTCACAAGAGTGTCCCACGAGAGTGTCCTACAAGAATGTCCCACAAGAGTGTCCTACAAGAGTGTCCCACAAGAGTGTTCCTACAAGAGTGTCTTCTAAGAGTGTCCTACAAGAGTGTCCCACAATAGTGTCTCACAAGAGTGTCCCACAAGAGTGTCCTACAAGAGTGTCCCACAAGAGTGTCCCGCAAGAGTGTCCCAAATGAGTGTCCCACAGGAGTGTCCCACAAGAGTGTCCCGCAACAGTGTCCCGCAAGAGTGTCTCACAAGACTGTCCCTTAAGAGTGTCCCACAAGAGTGTCCCACAAGAGTGTCCCGCAAGAGTGTCCCAAATGAGTGTCCCACAGGAGTGTCCCACAAGAGTG